TGATATGTAGCCTCCAAAATTGAAAGAAAAAGGCATTTCGAAAAAATTGCCCGAAATCTTTGATTGTACACCTTTGGAATCTCCCAAAAATTGTCTCGAAATAAATCCACCCAAATCGGTGCTTAATGGACTTAATCATCTCTGAAGAATAGCCTATGGCCGAATCCATGATCTGTAGCCTTCGAAATCCAATGAAAATGGTCGTCTGGCACCCAAAAAGTTACGAAATTGCCATCCGAAAATAAATTGGCACAAATCGGTGCTTAATGGACTTATCATCCGCGGAGAGTAGGATCAATAGACTTCATTATCTGTGGAGAATAGCCTCCGCCTGAATCTGTGATATGTAGCCTCCAAAATTGAAAGAAAAAGGCATTTCGAAAAAATTGCCCGAAATCTTTGATTGTACACCTTTGGAATCTCCCAAAAATTGTCTCGAAATAAATCCACCCAAATCGGTGCTTAATGGACTTAATCATCTCTGAAGAATAGCCTATGGCCGAATCCATGATCTGTAGCCTTCGAAATCCAATGAAAATGGTCGTCTGGCACCCAAAAAGTTACGAAATTGCCATCCGAAAATAAATTGGCACAAATCGGTGCTTAATGGACTTATCATCCGCGGAGAGTAGGATCAATAGACTTCATTATCCGTGGAGAATAACCTCGGCCTGGATCCGTTATATGTAACCTCCAGAATTGAAAGAAAATGGCATTTCGGAAAATCGCCCGAAATCTGTGATGGTACCCCCTTTGGAATCTGCCAAAAATTTACTCGGAATAAATCCACCCAAATCGGTGCTTAACGGATTTAATCATTGCTGAAGAATAGCCTCAGGACGAATCTGTGATATGCATCCTTCAAAACCCAAAGAAAATGGTCATCCGACGCTCAAAAAATTACGAAAATGTTATCCAAAAATAAATTGGCTCAAATCGGTGCTTAACGGAATTATCATCCGCGGAGAGTAGGATTAATAGACAACATTATCCTTGGAGAATAGTCTCAGCCTGAATCCGTGATCTATAGCCTCCAGAATCGAAAGAAAATAACATTTCAAAGAAATCGCTCGAAATCGGTGATTGTACCCCTTCGGGAATCTGCCAAAAATTGACATGGAATAAATCTGCCCAAATCGGTGATTAACGGACTTAATCATCGCTGAAGAATAGCCTCAGGACAAATCTGTGATCTGTAGCCTTCAAAATCCAATGAAAATGGCCTTCAGACGCCCAAAAAATTACGAAACAACATCCGAAAACAAATTGGCCCAACTCGGTGCTTACCGGACTTATCATCCGGGGAGAGTAGGATCAATAGACTTCATTATCCATGGAGAATAGCCTCAGCCTGAATTCGTGATAAGTAGCCTCCAAAATTGAAAGAAAAAGGCATTTCGGAAAAATCGCCTGAAATCTGTGATGGTACCCCTTTGGAATCTGCCAAAAATTGACCCGGAATGAATCCACCCAAATCGGTGCTTAACGGACTTAATCTTCGTTGAAGAATAGCCTCACGGCGAATCCGTAATCTCTAGCCTTCAAAATCGAAGGGAAATGGCCTTTCAAAAAAATTGCCCAAAAAATTAAGAAAATGCCATCCGAAAATGAATTTGCTCAAATTGGTGCTTAATGGACTTAATCATCGGTGGAGAATAGGATCAATAGACTTCATTATCGATGGAGAATAACCTCGGGCTGAATCGGTGATATGTAGCCTTTAAAATCGAAAGAAAATGGAATTTTTGGAAAATCGCCCGAAATATGTGATGGTACCCCTTTGGAGTCTGCAAAAAATGGACCTGGAAGAAATCCGCCCAAATCAGTGCTTAATGGATTTAATCATCGTTGAAGAATAGTCTCAGGCTGACTCCGTGATCTGTAGCCTTCAAAATCAAAGGGAAACGGCCTTTCGAAAAATATCGCCCAAAAATTTACGAAAATGTCATCACAAAATGAATTTGCCCAAATCGGTGCTTAATGGACTTAATCATCATGGAGAATAGCTTTAGGGTGAATGTGTGGATCTGTAACCTTGATCAAATAAAAATGACATTTCGCAAAAAATTTCCAAAATATCCATAAATAATAGCATTCGAATAAATAGACCAAAATCTTCGATGTCTAGCCTTTGAAATCGATAAACAATTGCATTCGAATAAATTGGCCAAAATATGCTTGGATAGCCTTAAAATTTGATTAAATATAGCATTCAAAATACCAAAACCTGTGATTGATATTCTTCCAAATTCATGAATAATAACATTCAAAAAAATTGGCCAAAATTTGTATATTCAAAATTAATTAATAATACCATTAAAAAATATTGGCCTAAATCTATGATGGATAGCCTTCAAAATAATGATATATAGCATTCAAAAAAGTCGACCAAAATCTGTTAACAGATAACCTTCAAAATTGATTATACATATCACTCAAAAAATCGACACAGATCAATCAAGCTTCTTTCACGATATCGTTTCTTTGGCGACGTGCATGGTTGTCGGAGCAACCGACGTGATCGAATGCATCTTTCTTAGCTTCCGTTCCTCTCACTGCTTTCCTTTCTCAATAATGTCACGACGGTGGTTCCACGATCATCCGCCGTCGTTGTCACGGCGGTACCACAATTCTGTGTTTGGGCAAAGTCAATAATTGTAGGTGGAAAATTGAATATCCCCATTTCTTCTGGGACCTCCTGCATGTGCATGAGAGATTCAATGGATGTACACAATAATAATAAAAAAATATGTGGACGTCCAATGCAAATTTCGCCACGTCACTCCTGACGAACAATTCTTAAAATAATTTCGTCGGTCATCGATCATCATGATTGACGAATTGATATTTGACTCACTCCACGTGTCAAAAAGATTTGTAACCTAATTTTTTTTTCTTCAATTTTTAATAGGATCAAGATAACATAGTATAATACAGGACGATCTCTGGATTCCTCTTCTTATCTCCTATAGCTAGGTCAGATGAACAGTTTCTTGGATCGGGAGATATGCCCATGCTTGCTACCATCTCATCTTCCCATCATGCATGCTTCAGCAATGTGTGGAAAATAAAATAAAATAAAAATGTACGTTGTTCACAAATATGATGTATGATCGTTAGTTTTGCTATAAATAAAAAGGTATATAATAAGAATTCTTTAAATCCTAAATGAAAATGTCATAACACTTTAGTTCAATGTGGAAACAAAAATTGATATTCAGGTTCACTGTATTGAGGAAAGTACAAATTACAATGATATTCTACGTGACTTACAATCGGTCGACAACAGATACCCAGATTTCAAATTTATAGCAACACGAGCTCTTGCTTAAATCTCAAATACCATGGTTGGTCATAAGTAAAATTGTTCTTTTATAATAACCACTTCGTTTTACACTTTCACGTCCCTGGATTTATCGTACATGGCAAATAATTTATGGTATTTTAGCCTAAATTAGATGATGCATTGGTGTTTATTATTCTTTTTAGCTGACATGTCACTAACTCAACGATTAAGAGATAGTTTAAGGACACGCATGAGAGACCTAACAAAAATGGACGGATAGTGAGTAATGGTAAAACGAAGAAAAAAAATGTAAAGTAAATAGCTATATAAGGTGTTTGTATCGTGAGTGACCTGTTGTGCAGTTTAACCTACTAAAATTGAGATCACATTTTGTTGCATGCCAACAAGAAAGGTGGAAGAAAAGAAAGATAAACCTAAATTGAGTGACAGACCCAGAAATCTGAGTAAGTACGCTAGAACAATTAATAGAAAGGAAATTGAACCCTTACATGTTGTTGAAAAGGGAGGCCAGAGACTTACCAACCATTGTTTTTCTATAAACTTGGTACAAATTATTTACGTTCTTTAGCTACATTTGTAAGTTGAATGGGTGACTTTACTATAGTGAATAATTGAAATTTTGGGTAAATGGACAAATAACTTCTGTCATTTTTATCTCTTCATCTAAACGCGAAGAAAGTTGAGAACAAGCTAAATGGTGGTGCCACTAAGCACTAAACCCTATTGTGTGAAAGATGAGTGCCAAGAATGATAATAATTAATAAGGAGTATAGCGCTTAGTGGATGACAATGTGAGTCTATGATTGCGAATATAGGGATGAGTGTTAATCTGAATGGAGTCGGCTCATTATTTAAGATCTTAAATTCAGGTCGAACTCAACTTTAAATAGTTGAATTCATAACCTAATTAAAAAAAATTCTAATGTTTGCTTATTCAAGTTGTTAAGTATTATATGGAATAAGATATATAATTTTAAAAACTTATGAATTATCAACAAGATAACTCATAAAATATTGATCAATTTTCTCATAAATCGATAGTCAAGTTAACTAACTAATTCTACTATTAAGATATCTCATGAACTAAAAACGAGACAGTGCACAAATCAAGCTCAACTAGCCACCAAATCGAATTGGCTCACAGCCCTCGCGAGAATGGTTGTCACGCCGGCCGGCGTGCCACTGATTGAACCTGGTTCAACCTGTGTCGGTCATAAAACTGGCATGACACCACCGGTATGACCGACACGATCGATATACGAATCTCCAAATAAAATTATCTTATCTTAGTGAATTTAATTGATAAATAGTTATTTAGTATTTGTTTTATGTGTTAAAAGTTAAATGTTGATGTTATTTATTGGATTCAAGTACAAATATTTAGGTATTTACGTTAAATGTCATGTTTAAATATGAGTATTTGTAAATTATTTGTAATATTAACCGGTATGTATCACCGGTCGAACCATTCCACTTGCTAAACCGGCACACTGGTATAAACCGGTTTGACAACCTTGCGATCGAGTGAACAAGATTTAGAGCCAGTTTAATTACAGTGCTTACAGAAGAGTCAGAAAGTCAAAAGGCATTATCACTTCAGTTCTTGTAGGCTGTAGCACCGCTATATAAATGCTCTGCAGGCTGCAGCTACATGCATCACAAGCACCAAACCCTCTTCCTCAAATCCATCACAATGGCGGACAACCAGCACAAGCGGATAGCGATCATCGGCGCAGGAATCAGCGGCCTCCTGGCCTGCAAATACGCCCTCTCCAAGGGCTTCCACCCAACCGTCTTCGAGTCCCAGCCTGGCATCGGAGGCCTCTGGAACAAGACTCTGTCCACCACCAAGCTCCAAACCCCAAAACCAGTCTACCAATTCTCCGACTTCCCATGGCCCGATTCCGTCACCACCGATTTCCCCGATCACGACCAGGTCCTCGACTACCTCCGGTCCTACGCCGACCACTTCCACCTCACCGATCACATCAAATTCAACGCCAGAGTCCTCAGCATCGAATACAGGGGAGTTGGGGACGACGAGATGGAGGCCTGGCACTTGTGGGGAGGAAACGGAGAGGCTTTCAGCGGCAGGGGAGGGAAATGGGAAATTGAATTTTCGAGCAATAATGGTTCGGAGAGTGAATTTTTCGAAGCCGATTTCGTTGTGCTCTGCATGGGGAAGTACAGCGATGTCCCGAATATCCCCAAATTCGCTCCTGGGAAGGGACCTGAAGCGTTTCAGGGGAGAGTGATTCATTCCATGGAGTATTCGGATTTGAAAACAGGGGAAATTGAGGAGCTGGTGAAGGGGAAGAGAGTCGCTGTCGTTGGGTTGCAGAAACATGCTCTGGATATCGCCATGGAGTGCTCTGAAATCAACGGTTCGTGAAAATTGTACCAATTGAGAAAGAATCGATACGTGGAATTTCGTAAATCTGACTCTGTGTATGGTTTTGGTTTCTGCAGGGAAGGAAAATCCTTGCAGGGTAATTTACAGAACAGAGCATTGGAACGTCCCTGATTACATGCCGTGGGGATTCCCTCTGGCGAAGCTGTATCTCAACCGATTTGCGGAGCTATTGATTCATAAACCTGGAGAAGGGTTATTACTCAGTCTTCTGGCCACAGTTCTTTCTCCCATTGTAAGCTAAACTCCATAATTAAGCCAATCGGAATTTGGGAAGTTGAAACATTAACTTATAGTATAATACTCTGTTTTTGCTCCGTTTTTTAATTTGAAAACAGTGTCAAAACAGAGTGGAAACCTTAACTGATAGTATAATACTCTGTTTTTGCTCTGTTTTTTATATGAAAACAGAGATGGGCGATCTATAAATTCGTCGAAAGCGATATCAAGCACAGGCATCGATTGGAGAAACACGGGATGGTTCCAAAGCACAGCTTTCTCACGGCGATCAGTACTTGCCTGCTATCGACGGTCCCGGAGAAATTCTACGACAGGGTGGAAGAAGGAAGCATCGTGCTGAAGAAAGCTCCGAGCTTTAGCTTCTGTAAAGAAGGGATCAAGGTCGAAGGTGGTGAGAAGGAAGAACCGCCGTTGGATGTCGACGTGGTCATACTGGCAACGGGTTTCGTCGGCGAGAAGAAGCTGCAGAACATCTTCGGATCGAAACGTTTCGGGGAAATCGTCGTGGGGAGTCCAGACGGCGTCGTTCCGCTCTACAGGGGTTGCGTTCCGCCGAGGATTCCGCAGCTGGCCGTGTTGGGATACTCGGAGAGCATCACGAACCTGTTCACGTCGGAGATGAGGAGCCGGTGGCTGGCGGAGCTTCTCGACGGGAAGTTTAAGCTGCCGGCGATCAAGGAGATGGAAAGTGAGGCGGCGGAGTGGGATGCGTTTTTCAAGGAATACGGCCGCGAGTTTTACAAGAGGACTTCCATTAGCATCGTCCATATTTGGTACAACGACCAGCTCTGCAAGGATATGGGCTGGAGCCCGAGAAGAAAGAATGGGCTTTGGGCCGAACTTTTTGAGCCTTATGGCCCAATGGACTATATTTCCCCTTGATATTTGATAAGGGAATTCTGTAATTAAGGCTTAAGCTAACGGTTTGGTCCATACCGGATCAGACCGATATTCAGATCGAAATATATCGAACTGAATATAATATTATAAATAATTATTTCCCTTTTGGCGAACCGTATTATGTCCCCTGAGGGACACGAATCGGTATCGGTAAAAATCCATTTCCAATACTGCCAACGACGACGGCTCCACGATCGTACGTCCGGCCGTAGCTGTCACGACGGCGATACCACAATGGGGCAGCCAATAATTGTCGGAGGAAAAATTCAGTATCCCATTTTCTGGGGCCGTCTCTGCATGTGATTCAATGGATACACACAGCAATAATGATAGTGATAAGTTTAGGAGGTTGTGTGGTAACTAATCCAGGAAAGATAAGTTTTACTATTGTTTCACCCCCGTGAAGTACACCGGGCTTAACTGTTAACTCAATATGATGCAATCTGACACCTTTATTAATTGACCAATAACGAGATTATAAACCCTTGTGCTTCAGTCTCATCTTGACCTTGCACGATCCCCCACTCTCTGACTTATGGTTCCTACAAATCAGCAACCATCACTCAACTAACAGCTACAAACCCTCTAACAAGACTAACTACTAACAGGACTCAATTGTACTAACTACACAAATAAGGACTGAACTGAATATAAACCAATCGACTGACTCAACTAACTGAAACGGCGGCGTTTTCCTTTATTCCGTTCAAACTTCAAACTTGGCGCCTTAAGTAATCCTTCTCCAGAAAGGATTCGGATTCTTCAAAGCTGCTGCTCCTGTTCAACCTTCAACATAATCCTCCCCTGAACTGAAGCCGGTTTGGAACCAAGCTTCAGTTCACTTCTTCTCCCATGAATTCTGCAAGATCACACACTCCTAACTTACTTCTTAGAAGCTGAAAACTCTCCAGCTTTAGTGGCTTGGTCATGATGTCAGCCACCTGTTCATAAGTGCTGCAATGCTCCAGTTCAATAACCCCTTCCTTAGCCAGATCTCTGATGAAGTGGTACCTGACATCAATGTGCTTGCTTCTCCCATGCAGCACTGGATTCTTGGACAACTTAATTGCAGAGCTGTTGTCACAAAGAATGGTTGTACAACCTTCTGCACTTGAATTCCATCCCAAGCTTTCCAGAATCCTCTTCAGCCACACACAGTGAGCAACACAGTATGTTGCAGCAATGAACTCAGCTTCTGTGGTAGAAAGTGTGACTACTGGTTGCTTTTTGGAAGCCCAGGAGATTGCTCCACCAGCAAGGAAGAACACATAACCACTGGTACTTCTTCTGTCATCAACATCCCCAGCATAGTCACTATCAGTGTACCCCAGCAACCTGTTTTCTCCTTCCAATCTTTTGTACTAGATCCCAGACTTTGTAGTTCCTTTTAGGTAACGCAGTACCCTCTTAGCAGCCAGTTGATGCTGCCTAGTAGGAGATTCCATGAACCTACTTAGGAGACAGACAGAGTACATTACCTCAGGTCTAGTTGCAGTAACATAGAGTAGACTTCCAATTAGTTGTTTGTACTCTGTGGGATTGACTGAAACTCCATCTCCAGCTTTGGATAGCTTAATGCCAGGTGCAATTGGATTGCTGACAAAGTTGCAATCAGCTAGCTTGAATCTTTCCAGAACTTCTTTGATGTACTTCTGTTGAGAAATAAAGATTCCTCTTTCTGATTGCACCACCTCAATGCCCAGGAAATATCTCATCTTTCCCAAATCTGTCATCTCAAATTCAGATTCCATGGCCTTCTTGAATCCAGCAATCATTTCTTCACAATTGCTTGTATACAGCACATCATCCACATATATTGATACATGATGAACAGTGTATGTTCATGTGGACACCTCTCAAAACCAGTCTTCTGCAGATACCCTTCAATTCTGCTATACCATGCTCTGGGAGCCTGCTTCAGCCCATACAAGGCCTTTTTGAGCTTATAGACCTTATGCTCCTCCCCAGCAACCTCAAAACCTTGAGGTTGCTCCAGGTAAACATCCTCTGTAAGCTCTCCATGAAGAAAAGCTGATTTGACATCTAACTGGTAAACTGTCATACTATGATAAGCAGCCAATGACAGTATGGTTCTAATTGTGTCCCACCTGGCTACAGGAGCAAACACCTCTGTATAATCAATCCCAGCCTTCTGAGCAAATCCCTTGGCTACTAATCTGGCCTTTCTTTTGTCCAGAGAAGCATCCTCCTTCAGTTTTGTTTTGTAGACCCACTTGCATCCAATGGCTACTACTCCTTCTGGCAAATCAACTAGCTCCCAGGTTTGATTTCTTTCAATTGACTCAAACTCCAGATCCATTGCTTTCCTCCATCTTGGATCTTTATATGCTTCCTCGAAAGTCTGAGGATCATCAGTGATAGCCAGCATCAACCTCCAGTCAGTGTCTGCAAAGCTACAGTCATAGATGGATAGGTGAGAAGGTGGATGCCTGGACCTGGGAGGCAATCCCAACACATCAGTACCAGGTCCAGAGCCATTGTCATCAGATTCATTTTCAGGTTCCTCAGCTGTTGGAGTTTTTGGACTCTCAGGTTCTTCAATAACTGCAGCTTCAGTATCTGCAGTGACCTCTTCAGTGTCTGAGGAATCCCACAACTCATCACTTCCTTCCCAAACCAGCTTAGCACTTCCTGTTTCTTCTGAGCCTTCCATCCAACCCTTGGTTTCATCAAACACAACATCCCTGCTCACTACTATCTTCTTAGTAGCAGGATCAAACAGTCTATAGGCTTTAGACTCAGTTGAAACTCCAAGAAAATAACACTGGGAACTCTTGCTGTCCAGCTTTTTCCTTCTTTGATCAGGAGTATGTACATAGGCTACACAGCCAAAAACCTTGAAATGCTGAACTGAGGGTGAGTTTCCAGTCCAAAGTTCCTGTGCAGTCTTTCCTTGATTAGCACTTGTAGGACTTCTGTTGAGTACATGTGTGGCCCAGGTGACTGCTTCAGCCCAGAAAACAGTAGGTACATGAGTATCCTGAAGCATACATCTCACCATATTCATCACTGTCCTATTCTTTCTTTCAGCCACTCCATTTTGCTGTGGAGTAAGAGCAGCTGTCAATTGCCTTCTTATACCAGCTTCATCACAGAGTTCTTTGAATTCAGTTAACATGAATTCCCCTCCTCTATCAGTTCTGAGACATGTGATACATAATCCATTCTCCTTCTCAACCTGGACCTTAAACTTCTTAAACCAGTTCAAGGCTTCTGACTTAGCAGCTAGGAAGTACACCCACAACTTTCTGCTATAGTCATCAGTTAGGGTGAAGATATACCTCTTCCACTGTTTGAAGCTGGTGTGATTGGTCCACACAGATCTGCATGAATTAATTGCAGCTTCTGAGATGCCCTCCACTGGCTTTTCTTTGGAAATGAATTCCTGTGCTGCTTTCCAGTTAAACAGGTACTGCATACTCCTGTGTTGCCTTGTAGCTGTGGCAATCCTTGTACCAGCCTCTTCTTCTGTAACTGCTAAAGACTCAGGGGACTGATATGCCCAAACCTCCTGTGCCACAAGTTTAGCTGTGACTCTGAGGCACTCCTAGTTTGAAGACACTGCACATCTGCAGCTTGTTTTTCCTTGCTTACTGTGGTGTGGAGAACAAACATTCTGTTTGTTTTCATCTCAGTTTGTAGCAGGAGCCCCTTGTCTTTATGAAATATTTTGCAGAGACCTTCTTGTTCAAGAAAGATAAGCCCCTTTCTTGCCACTGGCCAACACTCAGTAGATTAGTTTTAGTCCTGGTACATAGAACACCTCCTGGACCACCACAGAAAGCTGATTAACTACCAGCCTCACACTTCCTCTCCCAGCTACATTCAGTCTTGTATCATTGCCAAGCCTGACATTACAAGTGAACTCAGTATCCAACTCTGTGAACCACCTCTTTTCTCCAGTCATATGATTGGAACATCCTGAGTCAAGGAACCACCAATCAGAATCTGCTTCTTTCTGTGAATCTTCTTCCACAAAGGCCATCAACAGCATGTCATCTGTCATATCTCCATAAGCCTTGGTGTCCTGAGTATGACTGGTGCTGGAGTAATGGACTTGTTGATTTGAGTACCATTCTGGGCACTCATTCCTGTAGTGTCCCAGTTTGTGACACTTATAGCATTCCACAACATCTCTATTCCACCCTCTACCAGCACCTCGTCCTCTACCTCTTCATGGAAAGAAGTTTCTTCCTCCCTGACTTCTTCCTCCCCTACTGCCAAACTCATGTGTGGTTCTGAGCACTTGATCCTCATCAGCAGAACCCTTTTTCCTGAATTTCTGTTCATGAACAACTAGAGAACTTTGAAGAGCATCTACAGAGAGCTCCTCAATGTCCTTAGACTCCTCAATGGAACAGACCACATAATTGAACCTGTCTGTGAGAGTCCTGAGCACTTTTTCAACAATTTTCACATCAGGCATCTCATCCCTACAGTTTCTCATGGCATTGGCTATGGTCATGATTCTGCTAAAGTAGCTATTCACAGATTCCCCCTCTTTCATCTCTATGATTTCAAAATCTCTTCTTAAAGCCTGCAGATTTGATTTCTGGACCCTAGCATTGCCCTGATATTTTAACTTCATTGAATCCCATAGATCTTTGGCAGTACCTTTATTGGAGATAGTCCTGAGGATGGACTTGTCAATGGAATTGAAGAGATAATTCTTTGCCTTCAAGTCCTTCAGCAGCTGATCATCATCTCTTGACTTGGTCTCAACTTCAGATAGTTCTTCTCCCTCCTTCTGTTCTGCCAAACCATCACGAATCACAGGCCAATATTCCTTCGATCGCAGCAGATTCTCCATAAGAAGACTCCAGTGATCATAATCTCCATCAAATCGAGGAAGACCTACTTGAGCAAAGCTCCCTGAATCACTCATCTTGACAGATTCACAACTACTTGACAGTAGTTTGCACTCACCCTGAATTGAATTACCTCACCGTAACTCTCGTGTTTCCCAACCCCAGTCTGTACTATTCAAACAGACTTCTAACTCTATCACTCTTTGCTTGAAAGCACTCGAACACTCTTTGCTTGAAAGCTTTTCTCGTTACAGCTTGCTTGAGCTTTGATACCACAATGTGAACTCAATATGATGCAATCTGACACCTTTATTAATTGACCAATAACGAGATTATAAACCCCTGTGCTTCAGTCTCATCTTGACCTTGCACGATCCCCCACTCTCTGACTTATGGTTCCTACAAATCAGCAACCATCACTGAACTAACAGCTACAAACCCTCTAACAAGACTAACTACTAACAGGACTCAATTGTACTAACTACACAAATAAGGACTGAACTGAATATAAACCAATCGACTGACTCAACTAACTGAAACGGCGGCGTTTTCCTTTATTTCGTTCAAACTTCGAACTTGGCGCCTTAAGTAATCCTTCTCCAGAAAGGATTCGGATTCTTCAAAGCTGCTGCTCCTGTTCAACCTTCAACATTAAAATGATAATAAACGAGGGCTTCGAGCTGGACTTCTCGTTCGATCTTTTCGGGAGGTGAGTAATCTGTGAGGAGGAGGGGGTGGCCTCTCTGATCTACGCTTCGACACTCAAAATAAGTACGCATGTAGATGATAGTGAATGTAGAGAGACGGTTTAGAGAGAGACCTCAAGTGGCGTCCCATGAGGGGAAGGGAGCCTCTTTCGGTTTGAAGGCATGAGTCTCCTTATGTAGGAGTCTTCGGCTTCCTTTTGTGGGCTTGGGCCCGAGAAGAGGTGTGAATCGATGGGTTTAGCCTGTTGATGACGTGGTTGTTTGTCATATTAAGCGGATTAATACCACACCCAACAACTATACTAACAAAAAGTAGAGATTACAAGGAATGAGAAGGTTATATATAAAAGCACCTTCTTTGACCCCTAGATGAAAAAATCAAAACACTTGATCTGATCATAAGGCAGAAAAGGACAATCAGTTTCAAGGAGAGTGCAAATTACAACGATATCCTCTTGATTCCGTCAATGACAAATATAAAGGGTGTACTTTGTACAATGAGTGACTCGTTGTGTGCAGTTTTAGCATACCAAATTGCGGTAACATTTTGTTGCATATAGAAGGAAACAAAAATAGAGCTTATGTAATATTCCACAACTTTTTCCGACAAAAATATTGTTTGTTTTCTCACGGATTTCGACTTCAAGTGTGCATTTAAAGATGACTTCTCATAAGATAACTCATCATTAAAGTGTTGTTACACACTGAACACGTTTAATTTTTGAATTTTTACAAAAGCTTTTTCATTTCACTTCAAATTGTGTATTTTGATCGATTTTTCATATATGTACCATAGATTTCTCTCATCCGGAATTTTGTAGACGTGAAATTCATTTATTTCACTTAATATGTTAGGCCAGTATTAATAGGGATGGCAATTTGAACCCGCCCCGCCCGGTAATACCCGACCTGACCCGCGATGGGGCGGGTATTACCCGACCCGCATTAGCGTGGGGCGGGGCAAAGGTATCAACTTCCGACCCGCCCTGGCCCGTCCCGCCCCATTCTTACCCCGTTCTATGTCAATTTTTTACCCCATCCATTCATATATATCCTACTTTGACTTTTATTCAACTATTTAGATTTGATCTTTCAACTAAATAGACTCAGTTACTTATTATATTATCACTATTATTCATTCATCAAGTATTTTCCCCTTTTGTTTTATCATAAAAAGTAAAATTGTGCGTGTATTTTTCTCAAATAGCATGTAAGAGTGGGTCGGCCCGACCCGATCCATACTAACGTGGGGCGGGACATGGATATTGAGTTACCCGCCCTGACCCATTGCCATCTATTAACTATTAAGTGGGGGACCAAAAAATTCGAGCTGAGGAGGACATAACAATTAATACAAAGAAAGTCTAAAGGCCTTATCACTTCATTCTCTAAAGTCTAATCTCTTGGCACCGCTATATAGTGCTGTCAAGCGCTTCCGCAGCTATATGCATCAAAATTATCAAGCAAATACCCTTTTCCTCTGGCTCCATCACCAACAATGGTGGATGACCATCAGAAGCGGATAGCCATAATCGGAGCAGGAATCAGCGGTCTCCTAGCATGCAAATACGCCCTCTCAAAGGGCTTCCAGCCCACAGTCTTCGAAGCCCGAAGCAGCATCGGCGGAGTGTGGAGAAAAACTCTGTCCACCACCAGGCTCCAATCTCCGAAATCAGTCTACCAATTCTCCGACTTCCCCTGGCCGGATTCCGTCACCGCCGAATTCCCATCTCAGGGTGAGGTCCTCAGTTACATCCAAGCCTACGCCGCCCACTTCGGCCTGACGAAGCACATCAAGTTCAACACCAAAGTTCTCAGCATCAACTACAGGGGAGCGGCAGAGGATGAGAAGGCAGGGGGCGACATTTCGGGCTCCGGCGGGAAATGGGAGGTGGAATTCTCCAGTGGGACAGAATCGTCGGCAGGGAGTGAAGTTTTCGAAGCTGATTTTGTTGTACTGTGCGTGGGGAAGTACAGCGGCGTGCCGAATATCCCTGAATTCGCTCCTGGAAAGGGACCTGAGGCGTTTCAGGGGAGAGTGATTCATTCCATGGAGTACACCGATCTAAAGCCAGAGCAATGTAAAGATCTGGTGGAAGGGAAGAGAGTCGCTGTTGTTGGGTTTCAGAAACATGCTCTGGATATCGCCATGGAGTGCTCTGCAATCAACGGTGCGCTGCTCACCACTGTTCACAAAGACTCTCTCTGCTCTGTTTTTACGAGTGACCCTGTTTTTGACGAAATTGGTTTGCAGGGAAGGAGAATCCTTGCAAATTACTATACAGAACAGAGCACTGGAACGTCCCTGATTACTTGCCGTGGGGGATCCCTCTGACGAAACTCTATTTCACTCGCTTTGCGGAGCTATTAGTACACAAACCTGGGGAAGGCCTCTTGCTCAGCTTTCTGGCAACAGTTCTCTCCCCAATTGTGAGTGATTGAATTGAATTTGAATCCCATAACTAGTTCTTCTTCTGCTTTGTCAATGCTCTGCTTTCTAATGTTTGGGGGGCGGGCATTTTATTGCTCGAACCAGAGATGGGCGATGTCCAAATTCTTGGAGACCGACATCAAGCACAAGCATCGATTGGCGAAATACGGGATGGTACCAAAACAGAGCTTTCTTCAGGAACTAAGTACGTGCTTGATCTCGACGGTCCCTGAGAAATTCTACGTCCGCGTGGAAGAAGGGAGCATCGAGTTGAAGAAAGCTCCCAGTTTTAATTTCTGTCAGGAAGGGATCGAAATCGATCAAATTCAACAGCCTGTGTTGGAGGCCGATGTGGTGATATTCGCCACCGGATTCAGAGGCGAAAAAAAGCTGCAGGATATCTTTCGGTCGAAACATTTTGGGGAAATCATCGTCGGCTCTCCGAACGCCGTCGTACCTCTCTACAGGGAATGCATTCCTCCGAGGATCCCACAGCTGGCGGTGCTAGGGTTCTCGGAGAGCATCTCGAACTTGTTCTCGTCGGAGATAAGGAGCCGGTGGCTGGCGGAGCTTCTCGACGGGAAGTTTAAGCTGCCGGCGATCAAGGAGATGGAAGAGGAGGCGGTGAAGTGGGACGAGTACTTCAAGAGATGGCGGGGAGTTCTACCGGCGGTCCTGCGTTGGCGCGCTGCATATATGGCACAACGACCAGCTGTGCAGGGATATGGGCTGGAAGCCCAAGAGAAAGAATGGGCTTTGGGCCGAACTGTTCGAGCCTTATGGCCCAATGGACTACGTCTGCTCTTGATCAGGATTCAGGACATTTTATGTGTAAATTATTAATTACATAATAATTCGGCCTTTGCTATTCTCTAAAGCTGGTGATTAAAAGAGTTCAAAGTTTTAGTCACTAAAGAGTTGTGGGATCAAACAAACATTCTCAATGAACACTTGAAAGAAGGAAAATTTTACAATGAGAGAAGGAAATCCAACAAACCTGCCTTGGTAGGGTTAATTAATTATCAAGCTCGGGCGAAACCAAGGTCTCCATGTAGACATGCGCGACATATTTAGACTTCCCTTTCGATGTAAGAAATCTGACAGTGTTACGATTAACATCCTATATCATATGTCGATTCTGGGCAGAATCAAGGTCCATGTAAATATGGGAATCATATTCGAACAGAGCTTCCAATTTAAGAAGTCGAACCGTGTTATTCTTAATATCGTAAATCTGCAAAAATCTTGTGGCTGGAAAAGAACCTCGTCAGGAATGGGATTAGGTGCTAACCTCTATAAGGGTTAGCACTGTGATAACTAGCAAAAATCACTACGGATTATTATAAAATCAATACAACATCTAAACTAAATCACTACTAATTCAAACTAGTAGTAGTTTTTCCCTTAATTAGTACGGTGCTAACTATTGTACAATTAGCACCGTAACCCCTCCCAACCTCGTCACTGTCCGAAACGACGATTACTTGGTTCCATGGACCAGGGGACATGCCATCATGTAGAAATCTGAACAGCTCGGTCCATGAATCCCTCACTCTATGCTCTTTCATCAACAACACTGCATAAGAAGTGCCTGTAGAATTGTCAGAAATGAACCTTGCATGAAATAAAGAAAGTCGTTAGAATAGTCTCAAATGTATGTGTCGGAATTTTTCTCGTTGTGACATTCAAGGCTAATTCTTACAGACATACCATCATCACCATCAGTATTCTCTCTCGACCATCGTTACATCACACCATCAGCCTTTTCCTCTGTGCATGCAGAGGAAAAGGCTCTGCCATCATTAACCAATTGCAGAAGACCCAATCATATAACAATGGACTTGCTTAAAACAACAAACAGGCACCAGGATCTGGTCTTTACACACTTAAAACACCAGGAACAAGGGTTCATGTCATTGTGAAGAAATCTGAACAGCTTAGTCCATGCTTTTCATCATCCAAAATGCTAAAAGAACCATCAATTGAGTTTTTTTATAAGTGAGACGAGCTTTATTAAAACCACAGGGAAAACTGTACAAGAGAAGTAGCCAGCAGGGGATCACAAGAGCTGAACCGCAGTTGGCAGGATAAAGTAAGAAGGAAGAAACGAAAAGGAAAATAGGAAGAGAACAACAGATCTCGATGAGCCAAATCACCCTGCCCAAGAACCACCAATTGAATTGCAGATTATGGTAAAAAGGTGATCCTCCAGTCCCTCAATTAACCAAAGACCAGAAGCCTCCCCAAACTCAGGTGGCATCACCTCCCTATATGTCTCACTCACTAGGTCGAGTGAGATAATGGTGTGCCTCCAACATCATGAAACAATCTCTTGCCATACTTGCAAACAAACCTTGATCTCTAAGACACCCAAAAGCCTTGATCCCAAAAGCCTTGAGCCCTGGAAAAACCAACAGATAAGCAGCCAAAACCCGTCAGCAAAATAACCTACAAGTAGCAAGGAAGTTGAAGTCTGAAGAAGGTTACAGAAACAGAGAGGCCAAGAGGACATAAACAAAAGGGAAAGCCAACTGGCTGTATTGTCCAGAAACAGAATTTAGAGTACGGATCAAACAAATGTTATTGAAGGGCAATTTTAAAGGAGGAAGATTTAAAATGAGAAGGAAACCCAATAACCTACCTTGCTCCTGCTAAATCTCGATTCTTGGTGAAACCAAGGTCTCCAAGTAAACATGGGTCTGGTAACAGAACGAAGCATCCGATATAAGAAGCCGGACAGTGTTATGCTCAATATCGTAAATCAGCAAACCATCTTGTGCACGAAAGAGAGCCACATCACTGTTCGAAATGTACACTGCCGGTGTCCATGCCCTAGGCAACATGTCATTGTATAGAACTCTGAAAAGCTTGGTCCATGAATCTCTCACTCCATGCTCTTTCATCATCCACAGTGTAGAAGAAGCACCAATTGAGTCGTTGCTGTCGCTCATGATACACACGCAATCATCCAATACCTCCAATGTCCACGAAATAATAGCCTCCCCGAAGTCAGGTAGCATCACCTGCTTATGCGTCTCAGTCGCTAGGTCAAGTGACACAATGATATGGTTCAGATCAACATTACCGTCCAATGCATCCCAATGAAGACAACCGGCAGCAAACTTTCCTTGAAGCCTGCCACATAGGACGTTGGGAAAATCCTCGATCCTCCTCCAGAGTTTAGACTTCAAAGCACAAACCTGGGCCACAGTTTGATAAGTAGTTCCATCATCACTTCCCTTTGGTTTAAACAAAACAACCGCCTTGTAGTCATCTAATTGACGATCATAACCAAACCCAATACCGTTGAGACTCCCTAATCTCATCGATGGCTCTGACCCATACTTAGGCAATGTAATGCATGCTCTGGTAGATGGATTCCACAGAACGAAGGAGTCTGGTTTGTCGCCAAGAGCGCAGATTATCCCATCGCAACAACCAACAAAGACAGGATTTGTGGAAGCCAGTACAGGCACATATAAAGGGCGAACGAGATAGATCTCAGACTCGGTCTGATGATAATTATGCAGAGAGTTAAGGGAACATGAATGGACTTCGACATTTCTCGGCCATCTTTTGCATTTGTTGATAATAAGTCTTTGAACATTATTGGGTTTGGTTCTGGACAAGGCTTTCATGTTTCTGAGATGGGCTTTGACAAAAACAGGGCTGGAAATCAGGGTTCTGAAAGATTTGGAGACACACCTGAACCGGATCAGTGAATGGACGGGCAACCACGAGAGGATTTCGGCGATGAGCTCTGGGTGAAGGCTAGGCAGAGACCGCCACGGTTGATCTGCCTTCTTCGGTCTGTCTGAAGCTCGAATCGGCGGCAGCGGCAGGAGAGGCAACACAAATTCAGTTCCTGGTGGACCGAGCTCGCGAGGACTTGGATTCGGAGAACTGTGGGTAGGTGAAGCAGACGAAGCGCGAGCCACCGGTGGTTGCTCCGGAGCCGGTGGATCGATGTCTGGAAACCACCGAGCCCTGAAGCTGCTGGAAGGACTGAATCGGCGGGCCATGATGACTTGACTCCCTGAGTCCGCCTCTCTCACTGTTTCTCCCCCTCCCTACTCCCTTATCTCTGCCGTGAAATAAATAGCCATCCAGATTGTTTAAATGAATCACTATATTATCCAAAGATAACAAGTCAGTCCTTAAGAGTATTTGTTTGACAATTCAGCACACCATTGCCCTGGCAAACCTACAGATAGGTAGCCAAAGCTCATATCCGCAAAACAACCTACAAGTAGTAAGAAAAGCAACAGACTTTATCACTGTAGTAATCAATGTTACAGAAATGGAGAGGAGGGGACCAAAACAACCTACAAGTAGTAAGAAAAGCAACAAACTTTATCACTGAGTAATAAATGTTACAGAAATGGAGAGGCCAAGAGTGGACCTAAACACAAAGGAAGACCAACCAGCAGTATCTTCCTGCAAGGAGGAGGAAATTTTACAATTGAGGATGGAATCCAATAGCCTACCTAGCCTCTGGCTAGTTCTCCAGCCCGGACGAAACCAAGGTCTCCATGTAGACATAGGAATCATAATCGAACCAATCTTTCGATGTCAGAAACCGGACCGTGTTCTCCTTGATATCGTAGATCAGCAGACAGTAACGTGTCCGAAAAATGACCTCGCCGCTGTTCGAAATGTACATCAACGGCCTCCATTCACCAGGGTACATGCCATGGTGCAGAACTCTGAACAACTTGGTCCATGAATCTGCCACTCCATGCTCTTTCATCATCCACAATGCAGAAGAAAAGTCGATCGAGTTGCGGCTCATGACGAAGAGGCGATCATCCAATGCCTCCAACGTCCAAAGACCAGTAGCCTCCCCAAACTCAGGTGGCATCACCTCCCTGTACGTCTCGCTCGCCAAATCGAGCGACATGATCGTGTACATCGGCTCATCATTCACATGAGAAGCTTTCCAATGGAGTTTTCCAGCAGCAACCTTCCCAACATCGTCACCCGGGACGCCCTCGAAATCGTCAATCCTCCTCCACACTCTAGACTTCAATGCACAGACCTGAACTTCTGTCTGATAAGCAGCTGAATCATCACCGTTCTTTGATGAAATCAGAACAACCACCTTATAGTCATCTAGCCGACCATCGTAGCCAAACCCAAAACACATGAAGCTCCCGGGAATCCACGGCCCTGACCGAAACATAGGCAGCTCGGTGGAAGCTTCGTGAGATGGGTTCCACACAACGAAGCCGTCCAAGCTGCCACCGACACGAGCGCAGAGTAATCCATCGCAAGGACCAAGAAGGCGAACAAATGTGGTCACCGGGAAACGCTCCGGGCGAGCTAGATCGATTTCAGCTTGAGTGCCGCGGTAATTGTGCAGAGAGCCAAGCGAGTATGAAATGAGACCAAACTTCTCCGATTTCACGATGAGCCTCTCGACGCGATTCGGCTTGGCAGTGGACGAGGCCTTCGTGTTTCTCAGATGGGATTTGATAAAAGCATCGCTGGAAATTAGGGTTTTCACGGATCTGGAGACACACCTGAATCGGATAAGGGAACGGACGGGCAAATAGGCGAGGATTTCGGAGATGAGCTCTGGAGGAAGAGTAGGCAGATGCCGCCGCGGTCGATCTGTCTTCTCCGCCTCGTCGGAAATTGAAAGCGGCGACGCTGACGAGGCCAATTCGTTCCCCGGCGGCAGACCGAGCTCGTTGGGACTGCGATTAGCAAAATTGGGAATAGGTAGCGTAGAGGAATCGCGAGTCAACGGTGGTTGTTTGGGAGGACTGAATCGGCGAGCCATGGTTTTGGTCGGCGGTTGTGACTCCGTCGGTCGGTTGCTGCGCTCTCTTCGCTGTCCGTCTCCCACTGCTTCTGGGAGAAGATGAAGATAGCGTGTTTGGGAAGGAGAGACAAGGAGGGAGAGGGGAAAGAGATGGTCCCAAACATTTTTGTAAAGGAGAGGAGGGAAAACGATAGAAGAAAGTAATTGCTCTAAACATTTTCAACATTTCTTTTATGAATTTGGTTTAATCGGTACTGGTCATGAAATTGATATAATCGATATGATCGACTTACGAATTTTAAGTAAAATGACATCGTTTAAGTGAATATAATTATCAAAAATCTATATATTACATATTTTTTGAATATAAAAGATGAAAGTTTATGTAATTTATTGGATTTGGGTATAAACGTTTAAGTACTGACGTTAAATGTTGTATTTGAATATGAGTATTTGTTATTTTATTTGGAATGTTATATTTTATTAAGCCGGCATGAATCGGCACAAACAGGTTTTACCACTTGTCGTACCATTTCACTCGCTAAACTAGCGCAACGGTATGAACCGGTTTGACAACTTTGATGGTATGTGATTTTTCTTTTCATTTGAAGCTATGGATTAAAGTTTAAGAGTATATTTTGTGGCTTTTTCACTGATTTTCTTGAACAATTAGGACCCTGAACCACAAATCTCTGCGAATAAAGGTGGATTTTTGGAATCTACACTGATTTTCAAGCTTCTACCTACTATGGGGCTCGTATTTGGAGAGTTCAAAGATACCAATTGACAAAAAAAAAAAAAAAAACCGGTACGATCAAGAAGTCGAGATTTATAATAGTCTAGTCTTAGATCATCAAATGTATGTATAATAATCTTTGTCATTAAGAATGAAAAACATGAAGAGGAGTAAAGATGTGGGAAAGAAAATTAATTACTCTAAGCTTCATTATTGTTCCTCAAGCAAGCAAAACCCCAAGGAGGGGATTTTCCATGTTTCAAACTAATACACCTCGATTAAAATGAAAATTTAAATTGGACGCTAATCATTTCAAATTTATCCAAATGCTCCCAAAAGAACAAGATGGAAACTAGTCATCAAAATTCATCATCCACCTATACAAAACAGATGTAGTACCATCAAATGAACCAAGCTCAACAAGATGATGTTCCAGTTCTTCAGACCAATCTTCCCTCCAATTGCTGCAGAAACAAAAACCAAGAAAATGAGCCAAATCATCAAGTTATCAACTCAAATCATTGATCAGAACAAGAAGTTTCTATCATGAACGACTCTAACAAGAAGTTTCTATCTTGAATATGTGGTTAACTTTAGAGTAAACATAATTCGAACACGAGACCTATCATCAAATTCGAGTTATCATGTAACATAATGCATATTTAAATGGAGAAATTGTACAAAGCTGGAAATTCCAAGGATCTCATTTCTACAACTACGAAAAGTGACTTACAGGGACCGGGGGCGGGAGCGGCGGAGCAAGTGCGGTCGAAAGTGGTAAAGATGGTTTGATTAGAAGAGAAGCCGCCGTAAGAGCAGGTAGCGCCGCGGCAAGCCGACGTCGACAAGTTCCCTAGCAAGACGGCATTTTTTCCCAAGCCACATTCCATTGCAGGGCAAGTCGACCAGTCCGATGGTTTAACCCCCGACGGCTGGCACTGTAACCTGAGGGGGAAAAATCAGAAGAAAACTCAATTCCGCGACCATGAATTCAGAGCAAAAAAATGAAACCATGGACAGAATTACAGAACAAACAAGCTTACGTCCAGTTGTTGGCAGAGTCGCATTTGCACTGGACGCAATTGTGAGCGGCGAAGACGTAAGTCCCATTAGCCACAAGCAATTGTGAGTCTATGGAGTCGGATCTTATCGACGAATTGCAAGCTGCAAAACCAGAGACCAAAGAGAAAAACAGAGCATAAAAATACAGGGGGAAAAACAGAGCACCCAGAAACTTCAATGTCGCTTTCTATAACTAATTCTACACCGAAGCATCAAAATTTCCCATCCGATTAGATGAAAACAAAGCTAAAGAGACCTAAAGTTCGCAACTTTCTCTGTTCTTTTCCCTTCATTTTTACCTCTGATAGGGACATCGAGGAGCTGCCCGGCACGGATAGTCGACCCATCTTTCAACCCATTAATCTCCGTCAACGTCGGGACGCTAACTCCATACCGGTCAGCAATGGCCTCCAGTGAGATTTCGGATTCCGCCAAGTACCCATAGTGAATCACCTTCCTGCCCTCCACTTCATCACAGCTGCAAGGCAGGGGAATCGAAAGCTTCTGCCCGACCTTGACCGGGTCCTTCTCGGAGATACCGTTCGCGGCGGCGATCGCGTCGTCGGTCACCGTACCGGAGAACACCTTCTCGGCGATGTCCTTAAGCCCGTCGTCCCCCTTCTTCACGGTGTACACGGGGCGCTTGTTTGAGATCCCGGCCCCGCGGTGGCAGAGGCAGGGGAAGGGGATTTTCAGGGTCTGTTTGGCGGGAAGCTTCTGATCCGGCGGAGTCGAGCGCGGGAGATTGTTGGCGCCCAAAAGGGTGCGGAGGTTTCTGACGGCGAAGAGGGTTTGGACCTCGACGAACGTGGTGGGTTCCGGCGTGATGTGGTCGATCAAGGCTTGGCATTTCAAAGGGGAGTTCCCGCATTTGAATGCCGACGCGTCGACGGGGAATGTGGCTGCGATTATGAAAAACAGAGCAAGTAAATTGCTGCGGTCCATCTTTCTCCGGCGAAGAGACTGAAAGGGGAAACAGAGTATAATGGGGAAGACGAGTGAAGTGGAGTGGGAATTGTTTCTGGTTTCGGCTTTCAATCGGAACTTGAAAGGGTATAAATGTACAGAGTGAAGGAGTTAGGAGACAAAAAATGACATCTTGTGAGGAGAATCCAAATGGACTCGGCTCTTCTTGGTCTGGTTCTGATTGTTTTGTGTGGAACTTGAGAATTGCATTTTTGGGTTTTCTTTGGTCGGTTGAGTTTTTTTTATAATGTTATTTAACGGATTCGAGTATGTGATTCCAGGTTGAAAATTAGCGACATAATTACTAGATTAAGCAATTTGTTCTCAAGGAGATTTTCTTTTTATGAATTCAAGGAGATATTTTTATGGAAGGCAGTTGGTAAGTTATTATGATTCACCTGCGTGGCCGGTAAATTGAGATTGGGAAGAGTGGTTTTCGACGTATTATTAGAGTCTTTAATCAAGAATTTGTATCTAAATCCTAATGATTTCTAGCACTTCCTATCCAACACGAAGGATATTGAGTTTGAGATCGGTTTTGATCCTGAGTAAACAAGCAAAGACTCTATAAGATTCGTTCTTATGTTTCCCTTTTAACTGTTCGAGCTATTGTGATGAGTGGAGTTGATAGTCCATACTTATATCTAGCATTGTGTAAGGTTCGTTCTCAACGTATACTCGAGTAATTGTGACGAAATGATTCTACACGCTTGTATCTACTTATGTATTTAGTGTATTGTTGACGTTAAATGTGGAACTGTGGGAGCAGAAGCTGTAGTTGCCAGCTGAGAACCTCATCCACCACGTCTCTTTTGGCTTCAGATAGCAAGTGGCAGCAGAAAGTATAACACTTGGTAATTGGTATGGTGCATTTTTTGTTGTGTTTGCTGAAAACAAGCCAAATAAATAAAGAAAGAAAGAAAGAAAGAAGAGTCCTTGTTGGAGTTGATGCAACAGGCGGATCTAGCAAGGTTTGCTAATTTGGTCGATCCATATTGACAGAATTTTGAATAATCTCAATCCCCATCTGTGAAAGAGATCTAAGTAAGTCGAAACAGGGTGGATGTGTGATGGTAATTTCGAGTGACCAAACGTCTCATTCGATACCAGAATTACAATGTATTACCTCCCGAGTTATATTGCAAAGATGGAGTGGGTCTGGATTTGTTCAGGTGTCATGTTTCATTCTCATATCCATACTTCTAAGTAATATTAAGATACCCGCGAGTTATTTTCATAAGACATTTCATTATTCCTGCACAAAACCTACATTTATGCAATGCTACCAATTATTCATGCATATTTTTTTTATGCAATGTATAAGATTGCATTGAAAATCTTTACTGGTAAGTTTAATGAGATTGTATGAAAATAGATCATATGCGTGAAATTTCGTGAATAATTAATAGTATTGTGTGAAAATATAACTTTAGTTGGTGAATGGTAATGCCCCACTATAGGATGAGAGACTCTTCTCCTAACACAAACATACCGTATCATATCATGTGAATTCAACTCTCTGCCAAACCGAAATTAGATCAAATGAACCATTGGATTGAATCGAGTTGAATCATATGATTGATGACCAAATCAGATTAAATGAACTCTTGATCAACTTTGAACCCAACTTTTTGCCTTATTTCTGGCCTGATCCATTCCATAAATTCGGTTCGATCAGGGAGAGTTTATAATTGATAGTTTGCAAGTTCATATTTTTGTCGTCTATTCGCATATGGAGTGTAGAACGGCTATCTTTTACACAACTTGTTCTCCATAACTGTGGCGGACGTTGGGATAATGGAATACTCTGTTACAACAGAGGAGAACAGGGGAGCCTCTGTTTCCCAGAGAGAGAAAACCCAGCGATTTTGTTAACAGAGGAATCAGTTCCGGCGAGTAGTTAAATTCATTGTTCATTATTCATCGTCGGAGAAAAGAATTGGCGTCCGTCGGGGAAGGAAGGACGAAGGAGAAGGATTTTTCTTCACATCTCTCGCTCCTTGTGGGTAATGACGGAAACAGCAGATAATTAAGGGATTTATGGCTGGGGAGATACGGGGAACTCCGGCGGGGCTTTGGGAGGTAGAAGAAAATCCCTTAATCGGAGACAAACACCACAACCAGCCTCCGCCGCCGTAGCAGCAGGAAGAGGAGTACGCCAGAGGGCAATCGGCGGGAGAACGAGCGACGGAGCGGCGAAAACCAGCGCGAAAAGTCGAAAATATGGCATCCCGAAACGCGGAACGTTTCGAGTCCTCAAAACCAAAATCGAAACGCGAGAAATTGACGAGAAATTGAAATTGACGAGATGATATATACCACGAGATCTCGTGATATTTTGACGATATGTTGACTTTTCCACGATATTTTGACTCTGCCTTTTACCAGACCCTCGCTGCAACGAACAGAGCGGGAAAATGACCGGGAAAGAACAGAGAAATAAGCAGAGCTCGTCGCCGGCGAGCGACCGAAGGCGAAATGAAGATGAATTGCGAAGGGGAGAGCCGAGTAGAGAAGTTGGAGAGAGAAAGCAAATCAATTATCGGCATGGCGGAGGCCGAAATGGAAATTCGTATGAGCCCAACGAACGCTCTGCTGGCTATTCCTAGCAATGGCGGAGGACGGAGTGGAAATTCCGTCGGCCGGCGAAGGACCAATTTCTCTCTTCTCTCCGTTTTTGGCACTCTCTCTTGTCACCTACTGTAAAAATTTCATTCAATCGACATTCATTCACTCATATCATCAATGGAGATGGAAGACAGGAAGTCTAGCCGTGATTTCGATTAAGTGGACCGTTTACCCTACTGAAAAGTCCACGGTAATGTTCAAGCATTTGCCGTGTCGTAATGAACACGACCATCGAAACAGACTAAACTGAAGCAACCAAACAAAACGTCTTTCACTATTGAGAAAGGTAAAAAAAAAGACACTGAAAAACAGAGGAAGGAATCCAAGTGTTCACTACAGTCGCAGGGTCTTCCCACAGAACTGTTTACAAAGCTAACCAAAAGCCAACACCTTTTCCTTTAAAAATCAAAACTTGATCAATTTCAACCTAACCACAGGCTTCTCCCCGTTGCTAGAGTTCTAGATTCGAACATTACATGATGCGACATGAACTGCTAAATACAGCTACACCTCTTTTCTTTACTGTTCCTCCAACCGTCGTAGAATCGTCTCAGCAAAGCTTTGTTGCCTGAAAGTATATAGACAAACAGACGAGCAAAGGCGTGTCAGCTATGTCATCGCTCATTTGTAGCAATGGATAACAAAGAGATGGTTTGAGATGGTGGGGAGGGACTGGCATTACTTTTGTTCCCTATGTTTAGGGCTCGGCCTGGAGTACTTCAGATACCCGTCCCAAGGGACCATTTTGAGGCCAGCTCGCACAGAGATTATGTCCCGGACTCTGAACAAGAACGGTTCACAAGGATTTTCAATAAGACGGGGAAATACGATTGTTGTTAAAGGAAGCACACACTTCTGCGAAAGAGATTCATTCACCTCTCTGCAAACTCAATAGCTGTCTCCCCAGGTTTGAGAGTTTGTGGCTCCAAGTACCAAACGTCGCAAACAACTGCCCATGATGTCATGAGCTGGAGTAGATGCATTGTGAATGATTGCCTGCAGATCGTATGTATAATTGTTGGAACATTACTGAGGGACATGTAAGAAATCAAACAAACTAACATGACCACAGATTTACTTACTTCCGGCTGTTCCAAAAGGCATCAACGAAAATCTTATTGTACTTGACTGCGATTGGGCAAACGGTACATCCTAGTTCAAAGGCACCCTACAAAGACAACGGAGAAAGGAGAAGTTTCAAGGACAATGCTATCTACGAAGCACTTGGGGGGAAGCGAGTGGGGGAGTTTTGTACCTTCTTGAACATCACGGTATAGTGGTTATTTACACAAGTTCCTTCGGGAAATATGAGAAGAGGATTGTTATCAGATCCCTGAACATGGTCACGTAACCTGATCGGGAATATACAAAAATGCATCAAGTGGATATTATTTCAGGAAAAAAATTATATAATGGGGGCTTACTTTTTGGCTACAGTTTCACGATCCTTTGCCTCACTACGATTGAACCAGATACATCCCAAACTGTCTAATATGGTGCTCTGCAGGAGTCCTATACAGAGAAACAGCGAATTGATCATTTCTTTCTGAACCATCTTATTATATAGTGTATCTAGAAAATCGTTGGTTCACCAAATCATTGATTGATTCAAGTAAACTGGGGGGAAAAGTAAGCAACCAGCATCCAGCCACCAATGACTTACCAACCCAACCAGGGTGCTTCTGCATTATGACAGCAAATGGAGTCATCTGTTCCAAGACGATGAAATCGATCATTGAAGTATGATTGGAGACAAAAACCTGTTCAGACAGATTACAAGCAGAAACTTCGCGTCAGAATGGGAATTGTATCATCCTCCTATAATATCAAGGAAGGGCAAGTTGGATGCTCCTTGAAGAAACCTGTTTCGGCCGCATGCTGGGACGTGGACCGTGGTACTTCACCACTCCAGTCCAGGATGCCACAAAGAAGCTGCAGATTAACTCCACCAGATATCTCTTAAAGGAGACAAAAAATGGAACAATGAAAAAGTAAGTTCAAGTGTTAACACAGCAACCAAAATATAACACAGACAGCTAAAACGCAACTCAAGAAAAGGGAACACAATGAAAACCAGAACAATCTGTTTCTTCCATGTAATCAAAACTTCACAACACCAAGTCAAATCTCTAAGTTCAGACAAACTTGAAAAGACAAAGACTTTCTGAAGATTGGCAGATAGAATAAAGAGCTAGAGCTTAAGAATTGGATCCCGCACCTCGATCTTTTTCCTCAACTTGTCGTGCCCTTTGAGTAGAACATGAACAGGAATATAGGCCGAGAGAAAGATTATCCACCCAATTGCTAGCACGATAACCCTGCAGAATGGATTCAACATATGCTTCAGAAGTCCAACACACAGTACCAAGTTCAACAATTTGGTAAGCCATCATAAGTTAATAGATGGCCAAAACAAACAATCAGTCGGACTTAGGAAGCTCAATTCGAATGAAATCAAGTGGGAAAACATAGATAGCCAACCTGACAGGGAACAGGATCCCATATCTAACCACCACACCGCAACACCACAGAGGGAAAAGGTACACATTCCAGTTCCAAGGCTCCGGCGGATTTGACTTGAAGCACCTTGTAAACGAATCCTGATGCACCATAACAATCCAACTCAAACCTTATTCAACTCAAAAATCAAAGCAGGGAACTTTCCATCATGTTCACTTATAGTCCTTTCCTACCCACTAATCCTTTTCATCTTCTACGCCCAAATAGTTCAATTACTGCATGTAAAGTTCCAATCTTTTTTAACCTTTGCCAATCAGCTAACTGGCAAGTAAGATGTGAAACCTCCCCATTTCAATGGAAACATAGAAGAGAAAAGCGAGCCAGGAGAAAGCAGCAACTCACATCAATAATCGCCCCGGCAGCCTCAGTTAACGTTGGGGAGATGTCAAGCAAATCGCGCCTAATTCAACCAAGAAAAGTGGAGGAACTAACAATAAGAGACCCAATTGGCAGAGGAAATCGAAGGAGTAGTAGTAGAAGAAGAAGAAGAAGAAGAAGAAGAAGAAGAAGAAGAAAGCAATACAGTCGAAGCTGGCCGTGGGGTTCATGAATGGATGTTCCAGAAGGAAGGTAATCTTCAATGTTGGGCCGATCCAAGTCCAATTCGGAGCTCGAGGTATTCAGCTTCCCGGGATCGCTCATATCCGAGTGTGGTCGGAGGATGAGAGCTCCGGCGGAGGGATTTGTGGGACTGACTGTTCGCCCTTTTCCTGTCTGCAACTGGATGAACAGAGGAGAAAGAGGGGAGAGAAAAGGGGGCGCGGGTTGGTGGTGGCGTGAGGCTTGTTTGTTACCTGAGAAAGTGTGTGTAGAGAATGAAAACGCTTAAAAATGATTATTATCTCCCTTTACAATGTCGAACAAAAAATCAACCTAAAGAATGAATAATTTTAGTTATATGTTCTGTATTATGATAAAAAATAATTTATGTTTTTGTACTTGTGCATGGTCGCCAAAATTGGTAATCTTTTGGATATATCTACAAGCCTATGAAAATGATGGAGAATCCCACTATTGTTGCCAACTAGTGTTAGTTAGTGTGCAAACAAGAAACAAGAAAGATGTTTGTTATATTTAATGGAATTGAATCCAATCGGATCGAAATCATTTGTTACGCTACTGTCAAATGCTATATGTTACTAATGCTCGTAGTTTGTAGATGTCAAATGAACACCTTTTTTCTGTTCGACTTCAAACCAAATAGATATATGGAACACACTAAATATTATCGATATATACTCTGATTGGATTAAACCCCGAAGATGATGTGATATATATGTTCTTGTTAGCATTCCAAGGGAAAGATGAGTACTCTGTTTTTTCTGCCGAGTCTCACATCTTTTGCTCTGTGAGTACTTATAAATGTTTTGGACAACCTCATCTTCTTGGTATGAGTCCCCATTGATGATTGGTGAATTACTAAATGGCAAGGTGACGGTCAATTTTGGGCATCATTTTGCCTTTCTTTACCATGAAACGAAACGGGCCTGGGCTTGGAATTTGCTGGATTTGTCATAGCTTATACTGTTGTAACTAACTTGGGCTTGGGCTTGCTCGATTACAAACGGCATTTAATCTACTCTCTCGAGAAGGCCCAACAAGCTAGATGCCTGCCGTTTATATAGTGTCCTCGGTTTTACTTTTGTTTTCCTTTTTTTCGTCAACTATGCGATACTTATTTATGAGTAAACGGAAATTCTGGTTAAAAGTACCGCAAATTATAGATTTTATTTGCTTACAGATATATCCATGCAACAGGATAAAAACAAAAAGTAACATAATAATTACGATAATTTTTTCGGATTCAACATAAATTACACATGTGTAAAGCCGCCGCAGATGTAATTAGTAAGATTAGAATAATGTAGAGTCAATCGTATTACTGAATGAGTTGAACTCGTGGCCAGTTTGTCGGAGAAAATTATCAATGTAACAATTGAATTATTGACTATGTACATTTGATTAAGTTTAAGGAAATAATAACACGACTGCATTCTAAAATGGAATTTAAGGAAATTTAATGCCCGCAATTATCTATTAAAGAAAACTCATTTGCGTTAGAGGAACATCATATGGGTTTCAGTCATCTCCTTTAATGTGTCCATAAGGAGATATGATATCCCTGAAAAAAAAAAATGAAAACAAAATTATAGTATCATTAGGTTTAAGTCACTAATCAAATCAATCGAACCTCTACCAGTAAATGCGGTACTATAGAATGCATTAAAACGACGTAGTTTTATGCACACAAAGTACCTTCCAGGAAGCCAGCCTTTGTAGAATTTGAAATCGACGTCCCAAATCCGCCGCCAGACGTAAACGCCGTCGTCTTTCGCCAGCCAGACCCTGTCGGAGTAATCGTTGCTGGGGAGCGGGTCCATGTCCTCCCACGCCGTGAAGGACAGGTGGGAGTTGCCGTCGGGCGCCACGTAGCACCAGAACAGCGTGGTCCCCCACCAGTTGGGCCGGAAGCTGAAGTGGTAATCCTCGCCGCCGGCCGTTATGTACTTGACCCCGAGGTCGTCGTCGCCGGACTTACAGTGCACCAGCAGCTTCTTCCGGCGGTCGCTCAGCCCGTTCACCACCCGCACCGTCACCGCTTCTGCCGCCGGGATCGCCAGCAGGACGAGGCACAATATGCCGGCGGCGGCGGAAGGATGGGATTTCGTGTCGCGACGTCGGAGTGAAGTCATCGTTATGGAACTTTTGGCAAATGGGTTTCACGTCGAAGGGTATAAAAAAACATATTGAACCCGAAACCCTAACATCAAAGCGTTTTAGGTTATGTTTTTTTTTATAAGTATATATATGTTACATATATGCTTTTGTACTTCGAAACGGTTTGTTAAAAAGGTGGAGATATGTTTTTTGGTTCATTATTTACAAGTTTGAGTAATGTAGTCGTTAGAATTTAATAAAATAAAATAATGTATGAACTAGCATTATACTGAATGCCCTCTTATCTATTTCATCAATCGTTCGATTCAGTTGTGTTTCCTATATTCTCTATGCAAATTATTAAACGCACTGCGTACATAGTTTAATTCGAATTTTAGTAACATATACAAAGCATTTGTTACGCTATGAATTCGGGCTCTTGATATCGAATGAGAACAAGGATAATTTGTGTTTCAGTTACGTACGGGTGTTGCCATTTCTAAACGGCAAACCTTTGGTATATTGGGTTGAATACAACCACAAGCTAGGTAATTAATTAAACTGGTTGGGGATAATTAAGATCAATGAGATTATATTATATCAAGATTAGCTGTTTTTAATCACTCCGTCACCTATATCTCAACCAATATGTATCTTCTATGTCGTTTCGTGGTTTAAAAGATGCTCCATCCATGGGAATCTTTGCCTCTACGAATAACAACAAAATGAAAGGACCTAATTACATGATTAGCTCTGCGAAGAACGTGGATTAATGGTGCAAGGTTGGTGATTAATTCGATTGATCGTCGATCGTTATCTAATTACAATGTTATGACGATAGAGTAGAGTAAAAAAAATAAAAGGCATGACGACTATTTGATCATATTTAAATATTTTATTTATTATTAAGAGCTGAAATATGCGATTAGACGCGCGTACGCAATAACTTAAAATTTAAAACACATGATATGACGATAGAGTAGAGAGTGATTATTACTTATGTTTCCACTCCCAAGTATATGAATCGTCGCAGGTGGCGCTATCTTTCCTTCCGTGAACGGCGTCGTCTCCGGCGTACCAATAATACGGGGCAATGCCATCGCCGCCGCCGTAACCGTGTTCCCATGCCACGAAGTACGCCTGCCAGCTGGCATCCGGTTCCAGGTTGCACCAATACTTGGTCTTTTTATCACCTGTCAATACGGGCTCGAAGTCGAAGGTGTACTCGACGCCGAAGGAAACGTATTTTCCTCCGACGTCGTCGTCGCTGGACCAGCAGTGGACCAGCAGAGGCCGGCTCGTGTACGTCACGTTGTTGTGCACAATGACGCTCACCGTGGCGGCGCTAGCCATCGGAATCGTCTCCGTCGACAACAGGAGGAAGACGATGAAGAGTACGAATACGCGGCCGGCGCTGGTTTTGCGAATGTTCATGTCTTAAACGGAATTTGGTTTCTTAGTTTGATTGGGATGATGATTAAATCATCATATATATCATTTATATAGGGCTGATCGATCAAAGGATACAGGGTTAATAATGTAGTTTCAAAAAGAAAGTACGTGAATTTCTAAACAAAATTCTGTCTTTTTTCTTTTCAGAAATCCAACAATAAGTAGGAGGGTACGAGTTAGAGTGCTAACTACACTTATCACCGTTCATTGTTTTAATTTAAATCTTACGGTGGAGAGTAATGAGGGGCGTGTTTGGTATTTTAAAAATTTAATTTAATAAATAAATTAAAATTTGAAAATATATCTCTCTCCGCTCATAAAGAATTTTTACGTGGAAGAAGAAACGCAACTGGAAATTACTACTACTTAAATTGGTAGTGATTTAACAAAAATGTTGTAGTGATTTGAGAAAGATGTGTTAATAATGACATAAACCAGTTGATCCTGATAACTCCAGTTGTTGGGAGAGGTCAATCATGGATCATATACCACAACATTAACAAGCCCCCTCAAACGAAAACCACTCACAAGGGCTTGAAGTTTGCACAGGTCTGAAAACAAGAATATCATGTGCTTAACAAATGGGGGTCACCGGGAATCGAACACAAGATCTCTCGGTCACAGAAAGCTCTGATACCATGACATAAACCAGTTGATCCCAATAACTCGAGTTATTGGGAGTAACTAGTTATTTGACAAATAAATGGTATATGAGTTTCTTCCATAAACTAGTAAACTTGAAAACTTGTGCAAGAACTTAAATACTTAAACGTGATATGACGATAGAGTATGATTACTGATTATTAGTAAGGTCATCACTCTCGTGTTGCTTCCTTTCATTTAATCTAATACTTAATTATGTTCCCACTCCCAAGTATGCAAATCCTCGCCGCGGACAGCTGTCCTTCCGTGAACGCCGTCGTCTCCGGCGTACCAATAATACGAGCCAATGCCGTCGCCGTAGCCGTCTTCCCATGCCACGAAGTACGCGTGCCAGTTGGTATCCGGTTCCAGGTTGCACCAAAACTTGGTCCACAGCAAGGGCCCGAAGCTGAAGGCGTACTCGTCGCCGAAAGAAACGTTTTTTTTCCCGATGTCGTCGTCGCCAGACCAGCAGTGGACCAGCAGAGGCTGGCTCGTGTACGTCACGTTGTTGCGCACGAAGAGGGTCACCATGGCGTCGGCCATCAGGATCGTGGAGGTTGCCGCCGACAGGAGGGAGATGATGATGAAGAGTACAGATCTACGGCCGGCGGCGCCGGCGTAGGACGTACGGCTGGTTTTGCGAATGTTCATCTCTGAGGGATGAGTTGGTTTCTGATTTGATTGGGATGATGATTAAATGCTATCGTTGCAGACTTGCAGTAATATAGGCTGATCGCTCGGAACAGTACAGGGTTAAGAAGGTAATTATTCACCTGAAATAAATCATCATTCTTGGCTCTAGATTAATTATGGCACTAAAAATGTCTGTACTTGTATATAACGGCTATTTGTTTCGGACTTTTTGGTTTTACCCGAAATCGGACCGTATAACTCGGACCTGTACCGGATAACAAACAATTCAATCTCATTTTTGGGTCTAGCTTTGAGGTAAAAAAAATCGTTCAAGATTAGACCAAAAATCGGACAAAGACCGGATAAGAGAGCCCAACACCCAAAAGTTAACATCCTCACCCTTTCAGGCCTCATGCCACTCAAGACCGAATTGTTATCGGACCGGATCAAGATCAGACTGTCTCCAATCCAATTTTTATCCTTATATTCTCGAAAAAATCGAACCGGGACTAGATCAATTCAGGTTAATTTAACCGGAGCCACCCCTAATCTGAACACTGAACTTGGTGCCTCATTTTTATCGGTTTTACTTATGTATCAACAGACCATAAAGAACTTTGAGTTACATATATTCACCTTTTATATATATTATACAAATAACTCTAGATTTTTTTTTACATGAACGATGCTAATTGTTTATTCTCAGTTAAAATAGAAACTGTTATCGTACGTGTCGAATTACAAATATTTATATATACAAAGTTTGTTAAAAGGGGGGTCGAGATTCGATCTCATGAGTGTCAACATATATATATAGATACGCTGGGTGACGATCAACGACAAGGGTAATTGTCTTTCAGTTACGTACGCCATTAGGTGAAATCGGTGAGATAAGATCGATCAACCAAAATATATGTGTCATATTAGCCACTCTTTAACAGCGATCCGTCACTTTCTTAAATGTGTCGTCTAATATATGTACTGTTCATAGTACTGTAGATGCTGCATGAACAAGCAGCAGCAGCCAAAGCCGCGACGACACTTTTAGCGACGGAAAGAGATGGTCTTCGTTGTTAATGCTGATGTTCATGTTCGATTTTTCGGCGGTATTGAGTTGCGCGATTTCATTTTGAGTTTTTTTTGGAAGAAGAATAGAATTGGATTCTCGTTGCTATATGTACATCTTTTTTGGTAAAAGTATAACCGCAGATCTCGTAAAGAACGGTTTCCTATATTATTACGTACGTTAAACACTTTAGCGACCGGGAAAGGATGGTCTCTGTTGTCATTAATGTCTATTTCCGTTTTCCGTCGCTAATTTGTTGGTCGCAGATATTCTTTGTCGGCCAGCTATGAGTATATATTAGCCGGATTAGCCCCTTTTTCACCTTTTGTTTTACCAATGAGGAAATTAAAAGTTATTGCAGCATGATGTTTATTATGACAATTACCGTCACAGTAAGAACTCACGGTTAAAGTTACACGTTACCAGCTATGAAAGCAACATGTACGAATTTAAGATCAAGCGCCACAACTACTCAACACAAACCTATACGTGAAGGGAGCTTGACTGCAGGACCCACACGTCGCGAGCAGGGGGTGATAGTTGGTCTTAGTGATTCGACAGTCGCCGCTCAACTGATCATAAAGTTACTAAAGATGAACCGGTTGATCCTTGATGTAGATGTCATTTGAACGCTTTGTGACATTAAACCTCGACCACCACCACTGTAGCAGATTGACATTCGCGAATAGTTCTTTCTCGGCCAACTAGGTCTTGTTGGTACATTTTATGATTAACTACTATAGGGCAGTCCTATTGACATCTAAAATTATAAGTATAATACTATATATCAGCCCTTTTCCCATTTTGTTTTACCTATGAGGAAATTAAAAGTTATTGCAACATATAACATTTATTATGACAATTACCGTCATCGTATGAACTCACGATAAAATTAAAGTTACGTTGCACGTTACATGAATGGAGCTCGACTGCAAGACCCACCCACGTCGAGCAGGGGCAAAAGTCGGCCTTAGTAATCCGATAAGGGCCGTCGATCAACAGGAAGAAAGAAAAAGTTACTCCAGGAATAACAGATTTATTTTTTACGTTAGCTTGAACTTAAATCACATTCCGACATTAAACCTCGACCACCACCACCGCTGTGGCAGATTGACAATCCCCGATGCGGCGAAAGTATCCTCGCGTAAATGCATCGATCCTTTCAATTAATTAATTAATTAATTTTGTGCCCACTCGTAAGTATAATAGATGGCCAGCGGCGGATCCAGGGGGTGGCCACCCCGGGCCCCGGCCCAGCCCTCCTCTGGATCCGTAGTTAGTATAGTCCTTATGAATTTTTCGATTTTAGGCATTCGGCTTAGTGTGATTTTATAATAAAATTGGGTATAACTAGAAAAATGATTCAGATGACCATATTCAAATCACTGCTCTAAATTTAGTCTTTAAATTTTAGCCCCAAAGATTATGCATTTATAAAAAAACAATGAAACCTAAAATTCTAAAAGTTTAAAACGTAAAAGACTAAAAGAAATATGAGGTTTGTTCCCTTGAAAACTTACTAGAGCAGTTGGTGGATGCACGGATTGACACACAATGCCAATTGATTAGTCGATTGATTTGTCTAGTGTTAATGCTGCTCGTTTCAACAGCTACTACGAAGAGAACCTTTTCAACAATGAAATATGTGAGAACTGATTTGCTCAACAAAATGAGCGATGAATTTCTTGCCGATTGTTCAAGTATTTTATTTGAAACAGTGTATACTATTGGTATGGATGTCGGCTCCATTATTGATGCATCACTAAATTAAGATACCGTCGTGTACAATTTACATTGGAAAACAACTATAATCATTATGTTTTTTTACTATTTAATTTTCTAATGAAACTCGGCCCAGTGCTCTTTTGTGTTCTGGATCCGCCACTGTAGATGGCCTCGCGTTCCCATCCCGTGACGTTGTCGTTTTGAGCGCACCAAGTTACCGAATGGAAAATCACACGCCCGAATACCAATACAGACGATATTCAGTATACTGAATACCGTCGGTATCCGGTATTACCGAATACCGATTTACCGATTACCACCCTAAATACAACTACTAGGTACACTCGTTGGGATTTGGTCAATGTAACTTTCTGTATATTAGCCCGTTTTAAATTACTCGTGGTCTGAAAGAGGGACGCCGCAGCACTTATATGATATAACAACAAACGGGCCAACAAACGAGCTAATTGGGCCCGCCAAGGCCCAAAAGAACTTATGAACATACCCTCGTTTTGGGTAAACAATGGGCCAGCCCCAGTTGGAAGCATTGGCCTTAATTGCACTTTCTCTCAGTCCTCCTCCTATAGATTCATGCCTTGTAAATAATACAAGATGATGATTTCTTGCAATGAGAGCATTCTTGTTATTCCCTGCCACACTGAATAATTGAATATGATGTAATCTTGCTGCACAAAAAAGACAGGAGGATACAGAGAAAACAGATTAAAGAATGTGGGGGGAAAGGTGATGTAGTTCCTAATGGCTAATACTACTTAGAAAGCTAGATTAGATTCATCTCATACTTCCATCTTGCCCTAAATCAAGAAAAAAGGGGATTCCTACTACTTCTGGTTCCATACTACTATATTTTGCCCTAAAAAACTTAAACAAAAGCAACACTCCAAAACCAGATTCTATCTACACATATAGAAACAGAGCTTTTTGATCCCTGCACCAGAGACACAGTGGTTGTCAGCAAAGTGCAAGTGGATCCAATCCATCAAACAATTTGAACTCACATGGGGGAAAGAAGAGAGATCACCTCACCACCATCATTTACCATCTCTTCTTTGTACCTTTTTCTTTGGATTCACCTCATCACAATTCACACCACACCCATGTAGGTAGCCACAAAGAATGGAAAGCATGGATAGAACCGTTAGGTCTGCATCCTTCGCTTTCACAAATTTTATCGGGGATTCATAATGAACGGGATAGTCTTGCGCGTACGTTCTGCAGTCTCATGTCATGATATATTAGATCACTATGCCCACTTGGTTATCCGCAGCTCAAACGTGCATTTGGCATATGGTATATCGAGCATTCGATTATCCTTTTTCTTTTCTTGTTTCGTTGTTTGGTTTTCACATTTACTCAATCACTTGTTCTTCCTCTCATTTTTTTTAGGTGATACGACGATTTGTGTTGTTATGTGTAATAATATAAATTGTAATAATATAATTGCCAATAACTTGGGCTAGCTTCAGAAAGAGCATCCAAGGGACAATACATTAAACTATATATACACATGGATGATAGATCACAGACATTTCATCATCAGCTGTAACCCTGTTTCCCAATTTTACTAGTCCAAAATGATGCAAATAATAATAATAATAATAATAATAATAATAATAATGGCATTGGCAGTACTACAAACAACATCGTTGCTTGCTTGTGGACACAAAAATCGAATCCGACATGTCAATATAATTATCAAGTTATGTCTAAAACGTACGTGGGAAGTGGCCTAGTTGAAGTATTTTAATCACGTATACATCGGGCTAAGCCCTTAATTAATCAACATAATCTAGTCATTAGGCAATTGTATATGTCCACAACTTCAACGGAAACACAACTCGTATTAACTAGAAACACAATTGGTATAGTTGGTAACACATTTAATAATTCATTTTTAATCAAAGGTTTCGAACTAATATACATAATTATGCCATTCGGATCAAATCCAAATTCATTTTTTATTAGTAGTTTAACATTATCAATGAACAACTTGCTTAAATCACTTTTATCAATCAATATATCGTTTCAAATCGAACTTCAGATCCAAAAATGTCTTAACTTACGTAATGACACTTGTCAACCAATTTATTTCACATTTTATTATACTTGCCTTGATGGAAGCATATCAAAGTTCATGTGAAATCATATATACCAATTAAATTGAAAAGCTTGTGATTAACAAGTAATTAAAGCAAATGAAGGGTGTCATGAAGTCAAGTAAAAGGGTTACATGTGTTGAATAAGATTGATTCTTAGGTTGCTCACATTGGAAGGCAAACACCAATCAATTTATCATGAGAAAGAATCGATGACCTAATAAAAAAAATTATTTGTCCCAAATGATAAAATCATGGCCAAGCAAGTCACCTAATGAAAGCTCCATTGACCCCTCTCCCCCCATGTCAATCCCTTTTACAATATAGAACCTTTTCTTTAAGGAATTTTTGAGACATCTCAAAATACCCATAACTTACAAACCAAGAAAGGGTTTAGATCTCATGACAAACAACATCAACATGAAAGACTCCCCTTTTCAACGATGAAATTATTTTTCGCTGAAAGGTAGGTAAAATTTTGATGACCATGTTTACCGATCAAATTGTCATGATGATATGTGATTCAAGGTACACGATTTAACTGATATAGCCTTCGTGATGATACTTTCTAGTCCACCACGACAACAATTAGATTGCAGATCATAGATTACCTCCAATCAAAAGTATATATCGGTTTTAATTTCAGTTTTATCATTATGCAACACTCATAAAGTGTCCTTTGGAATTCTAATGTGCCCGTATTAGTTGCTGCTTCGATACACATAATTTACAGAACCTCATTGTACACATTAGATTAGTCACATCTTCTTCCCTTTCAACTAATTATCATTACACACTCACTCATGGCGCCTTAAATTCATTGATTTTGATGTTCAGTCTGATTCTAATCATCGTCATCATAAGAACACCTAACGAACTTATATGAATTTGTTGAGTACCTAAATGTGAAATTTCTCAAAAGGGTTATTAAATCTTTTGCCAAATGAATTGCCTTGTATAGTTGTATTCCAAACTTGATTGTCAAGTGGACTTTGAGTTTCAGACGTAAGCAACAATATAAGATGCTTCAGATTCCAATTTCCCCTATAGGTATTAGTTACAAGAGAGACTTGACATGGAACCAACAAAAGCTATTTGGCTGTTTCACCCGCACAAGCAATTAATTTGAACAATTTTTTTTTTAAAACTAACTTCACATCTTTCGTGACAAGTCATTGTGATATAAATAAAACATAAAAGAAGATAAAATATGTGAAGATATTATCAATGCATAATATATATATACTTAGCTTCTAAATTTGACAATTGGGAGCTCCCAACCACTTCAATTATATTTATTATTACTATAAGAATATTTTTCAACTACCCACCTGAACTATGACTTGAGTTTGTGGTTAACAACTAATTTTGACCTCAATGGGAGACCTTGATTAGCTAACCTGGCTAGGTAGACCTCTAACATTAGACATTGTTGATCAATGACTTTCCTCTAACATATATACCTATTACATTTTTTAGGCCTTCCTCATTAGATTTCTGGCTTCGTCACTGCCTCTTATAACGGGATATTCCTTATACAACAATAACTATAACTCATTACTATGGGTGATTTCACGAATAAGCGATTGGTCACAACATGAGCTTCATTCTCGTGGACGAAGATCGAACCCCGACTGTGTGAGATACTTAATTGAATCTCTCACAAGTGTGAACAACTTGAGCTATAGCGACAAGTTGGGTTGTGACTTTGTATCAGAGTCGGGTTGTCCTTGCAGTCACGTGTTCTAGTCCTCACTACCCCAACATTAATCTTTGTCTTAAAACACATAATATGACCGGTATGTGCAAACTTCAAACCAATGAGTTGGCTATGATACTATGTTATGAACCACTTCCTAACACTAGCTGCCACATAGTTAAAAAAAAAGCGAGGCGATCAACCACCACACCACAACCTGTGGTTAGTGGTTACCTTCTCTCCACCTTCGTTGAGCTCGAGAGTCCAATGCTTCCATGCATTACACTCTAATACATTTTTTGCTTAAGCAGATTCGTCTCAATTAATTAAGCACCATAAAAACACATATCAATCGGTTTCAAATAATCTCATCGGTGATCTAATCCCAACTGCTTCATTGGGGGGAAAATATCTCAGTAGGTGAAGGGTTGGCTCATGGCTGGGTTACGAGAGACACACCCAAATAAAAATCATAATAATATTTTTACTGCAATTAATTTGTAACGGTTGGATCTTAATCACATGGTTCGTCATTCACAGTCCCGTATTAGTTAAATCCTATGAAAGCGGGTCAAAGCAGGGATTAGGCCAACAAATCTTGTAAACTAACAACCCTTTATTCCACAGATATTAAATTAATTACTCTTTCCCCACGCACTTAGCTGGCTGGCTGTCTGTCTGTGTCACTTAATTATCCCGTCATACGTTAATTACACAATGCATTAAACCTCGAAATTAACCTCTTCGTAAACTCTTTGGAATCACCAGCTAAGCTAGACGGACAAAACGGCACAAACTTAATCGCGTTGTGTTATCGTTTCGTAATGCGTTCGTGTTTTCTTTGTCTTGTTTTCGACGAGTTCCAAAAACGACAGCGCATCCGCTGCATCTTGCGAGGCATTGGGGCAAGGGAGTTGCGGTGGACAAGTGGTAGGACTATTTTGTATGGATTTGTTTCAAATATCGATTCGATGTAGCGCGTACTAAACTTTATAGCTCAAATATTCGAACTTCATTGTTCGTTTTGTTTTTACACAAGAGCAAGTTTTAGGCTATTCAAACGGTTGCATTTGTCTGAAATCGGATCATACATAAAGGACAGAAAGTTGCCAAGAGCCCGAGACGATGTCAATTGAAACCTTTTCCAATATATATTTGATTCACTTAAGATAAGAAAGAAAACACACATTATATTTTTTTTTTATACATGCTGTTTGAATGGGGTTTACGGGAGCGGAGAAGAGAAGTTCATCATGAGATTCGAACTTGAGGTTTGCAAGTTGAAAGCCAATGATGATAACCCGTGACGAAGTGATTACTTGGAGTGAGAAGAGGCTAAAAATAACAAACTGTAATAGTTTTCACGATTGAACCTAAATATGAAAGGAGTGGGCTAATACCCAATATCACCATTTGTTAAACATTTTTTCATAATATGACTACCTGTATGATACTCTTATATAGAAAATTTTAGGGATCGTAGCTAGTCCTTGTGAATTACACATAGCTCCATCACTGATAAAAATAATATCAACTAGCCCAAACTTGCGAGCTAACTATAATATATATGTAATTGCGTCACACTGATCTTCACTAGATGGTTGATCAACTAGACATTCTTTGATGTAAGTTCTATTCTTAATCAAGCCCTCATTATTTTGTTTATGGGGAATTGTGTTGAACTTAACGCCATTGATCAGTTGATTTGGTCAGATTTTATTCAACAAAACCCATTATTTTAACTAATACAATACCTCTTAATTAAGTTTCATCGAAACTCTTAATCTCCTACCTAGAATATTAGTAGATTCCAACGGTTAAATTGTGGTACTGGCAGCACAAATCATCAATTCTCATTGTTCTAACTAGCCAATAATAAACGAAACGTACTTGAGTTATTTGGAAATAGACTGAACCAGTGACAAGAACAAGTTGTGCAATTGCATCGTTCTCGACTTCTTCTAGTAATTACGTGCTTAATTAACTAATAATAGGAAGTCATCTTTTTCTTTATAAAAAAAAAATCGTGCTTAATTAATCCAGATAAGCAGAGTATTCCGGCCTAATTAATCATCTCCAGCTGCGTTTCAGCCAGAAGGGGAAGAAGAACAAAATGGACGGAGATCGGCATTGACCGGAGGGACAGGTGGAGGGCTGCGATGGGACGGAGGAGCTGCCGCCGGTAAAATAAAAATTGATTGCACTGAAAGCGATCGGGTTTTGTCATAAAATTTAGGGCCGCGATTGGTTCGAGGTGCTGGGGGAAAGAAAGTGGGATTTAGTCGGCAGGCCGATTCCGGGATAGAGGCAGAGTTCGGTCCTCTGTTTTTCTCCGGCAGGCGGGACCCGCCGGAGCACCGCCTTTTCTCCGCAACCAAACAAAAAAACGTAACCCCCCCAGAAAAGGAAAGTTAGTGAAGAGATTAGCAAAATGAAAACCCAGGTTATACTTGAGCGTTGGGTGTGTTTTTCGTCGGTGTATTTCGAGTAGTATCATGAATAACAATATGTTAGAAAAAAACAATCCTATTCTTCTTCTTTTTTTTCTTCTTCCCTTGATGAATATTGATTTCGTATTATGTACGCTGGATTAAATTGGTTTGAGAGTGAAGAGATTTTAGGACTCTGATTTTATAAGTGCATGATGAATTTTAATTGATTCGAGATTGATAAACTTGTAAGCCTCGAACTTTATAAGTGTCAAGATTTTTTTTTTTTTTTGTCAAAAGATATCATATATTGATCACAGCAAAAAATAGTTACACCCTGGAAACCAGTCAGGTCTGGAAATCAAAGAAGCGACTCATAGTCGGGTACAAAGAAAGGGCTTTCCTAGCTACCAAATGAGCTACCCTATTGTTCTCCCGACCTACAAACCGCACACTAAAGCCAGACTGAGCACGAACATAATGAACAACCTCTTCAAGCACCGCACCCAGCCGGCTATCTCTTGCATCCGCCTGATTAATTTTATCAATTATCACTTTCGCATCGCCCTCAAAACGGACAGTCGACAAACCTTGCTCCATGCACCAAATGATAGCCTCACGAACAAGATTTTTTTTTTTTTTTGTCAAAAGATATCATATATTGATCACAGCAAAAAATAGTTACACCCTGGAAACCAGCCAGGTCTGGAAATCAAAGAAGCGACTCATAGTCGGGTACAAAGAAAGGGCTTTCCTAGCTACCAAATGAGCTACCCTATTGTTCTCCCGACCTACAAACCGCACACTAAAGCCAGACTGAGCACGAACATAATGAACAACCTCTTCAAGCACCGCACCCAGCCGGCTATAAGTGTCAAGATTGATCAACACAAGTTAGTAGGAAATCGAAGTGGCAACGTCAACAAAATTGAACTACACTAGTGACAATTGTGTGAGACGGCCTTTCGAGACTTGTCAATCTCCTAATTACCCTAATTTCTTAGTGAATATACTTTGTTTTTATATTTCTTGGGCGCAATTTCACATAGCCAACTCACAATAAAAAAATACATCGACAAACATGTTAGATACTACGAGACATTTGGGTTGATCTCACTGGAGGTAAGATGACGAGTATGGGATTCTCGATTTGAGGTTAAAAGACTTTCGATTTATCTTCTTAATTATGTGTTGTGGTCTTTAACGCATATATTACTTTGTAACAAAAGAACGTATGCTGAGTCCTAATATGCCAGACTATACCATTGAAAAACAAAAAATTATTAGAAGGAGAAATGTATTTATGGACAAAAAAAAAAAAAGGAAAACGAAACAAAATTCGTGGGAAATGTATTTGACAATATTGTTTGAGGATTTCCTTTCCGTTGTATTGCAACAGAAGAAGAAAGACAAAAACGGGCGAGAGGCAGAGAGAGAGAGAGAGAGAGAGAGGAAAAACAAAAGGAGTCAGTCTCCCATGGTCTCGTCGTTCCTCTCTTCTCTTCCTCCTCCTTCCTTTTGCAAACTCCGGCGCCCGATTGCTCTCCAGTTCATTGACCGCCGGTAACCAACGAGAACCGGAAAACTACAAACGCCGTCGACTTCCTCTGTAATTCTTACAATCGGAAAATGAAGAAGAAGAAGAACGGCGGTCATCATCATCATCATCCTCATCATCACTACAACTGCCCCGCCGCAGCTCAGCTCCACCAGATTTCGCTCATCCTCCGCTGCCGCCGCGGCGGCCACTATCTCTTCCCGTTGATCTCGGCCTTGTCCGCCTCCGTCCTCCTCTTCCTCGCCGCTTTCACTCTCCTCTCCTCTCCGCCGCCTCTCATCGAACGCCGCCACCTCCTCCAGCTCCCTCGCCGCCATCCCCCCTTCTCCTCGCCATTCGTAATCATCGCCATCTCATTCTTCGTCGCCGTCTCTTTCAATTCGCGTATTTAGCGAATTCGTTCTCACTCTTCTGATTTTAATTTGAAAATCACAGTCCGGCAGTGCAGTCAGGGACGAGACGGAAGAAGCGGATTCCGGTACATTGACGACCTTCCGCGTTCCGGTAAGCGTCGATGAAACGATTAATACGAGCGAACTGTGATTTTTTCTCGCCGGAAAAAACTATGGCTCGATTGAATCCTGGTTTGATTCCATTCGGCGCCCCGTTGAGATTTTCTAATCCCTTGTGTTTCGGTGTGTTTGTTTGGTTTCGTTAGGAGCGCGGCGGAAATTTAGGCCACGACCTGTGGAACTCTCCGTCGTCGGAATTCTTCTACGGTTGCAGCAACGCCAGCGATAAGTTCCGGAGTAAGTTCCTCCGATTTCAATGCCCAACCCCGCCGCTCCGGCTGGCCGGGGCGGCGGCGTCTACTTCTTCTCCGTATTTTTCTCCATTTTGACGATTTCAATAGCCTTCTGGATTGGATTGGAGTTCACGAAAAATCTCAACTATCTCCGAAACAAAAGCGGACGATTCCGAACTTTTTTCTTCTAGAGTTTGGACGTTTCCTCCAGCTTTTGTGCGTTTTGGCCCACGGCGGATTTTGGACTACTTCAATTTTCCCCTCTTTCCCCATCTTTTGTTGTCTTCTTCGCGTGTACTCTGTTTACTCTGCTCTACAACTTATGAGGGTAGAAATGGAATGGAAATCTATGGTGTGGAAGGATTAGACCTTCAAGCTTCTGATGGAACCCGTGATTTCTTGGTGCAGCCGCTGAAAAGAAGACGGAACAGAATCGGTACTTGTTGATCGTCACCAGTGGTGGGCTGAATCAGCAGAGAACTGGGGTGGGTAATTGGTTCTTTGATTTTGTTCTGTAATTACAAATTTCAATTCTCTGTAGGGAGTTCGTCACTGGTTCAATTAGACTGTTGATATTCAGCATTCATTTGATCCTCACTTCGATTTCTTGTGACAATGGCTGCAGATAACGGACGCAGTTGTTGCAGCATATATCCTGAATGCCACTCTCGTTGTTCCAAAACTGGACCAGGCATCCTTCTGGAAAGATTCAAGGTAAACCGATTGCAATGTGATTCCATGTTCCTATTCACTTCTGAAGAATTCAGACTCATTCATCTGGGTCTTCTCTGGGTATGCAGCAATTTCTCTGAGATATTTGATGTGAAGTGGTTCATTTCATCCCTATCCAAAGATGTGCGAATCATCAAACAACTGCCAACAGATGGTGGGAAGGTTATCACTCCGCACTCTATGCGGGTTGCCAGGAAATGCACCCCATCGTGCTACGAGAAGAGAGTTCTTCCTGTCCTCAACAAGAAGCATGTATGCCTAGCGTTTCGATCTCACCGTTCGAAACTCAAACATCTGTTGTTCTTCGGGTTTATGAACTGTTCAATGTGTTCTCTGGCAGGCTGTTCAGCTAGGAAAGTTCGATTACCGGCTTTCCAACCGGCTGGACCCGGACTTACAGAAGCTGAGATGCCGAGTCAACTACCATTCCTTGAAGTTTACTGATCCAATCGTTGAAATGGGTGAGAAATTGGTTCATAGAATGAGAAGGAAGAGCAAGCACTTCATTGCTCTCCACTTAAGGTAATCATCCCTATCAATTAAGCTCTTGTTCTCCATTCTCCTTTCCAATTCAACTAAATTCATCGATCTAACATGGCGATTGAACATATAAACATAGGTTTGAGCCTGATATGCTCGCATTCTCCGGGTGTTACTACGGAGGAGGAGACAAAGAGAGGGCAGAACTCAGCGCCATTAGGCAGAGATGGAAGAGTCTACATGTGAGAGACCCGTCTGCAAACTTTATCTAGTATAGTAACTCTGGTCTTTTATGAAAACCATTGCTTCTGAGACTCTTTGAGTATTCTTTGGGGTATATAGCAGAAGAATCCAGAAAAGGAGAGAAGGCATGGAAGGTGCCCGTTGACGCCAGAGGAAGTGGGGCTAATGCTGAGATCTTTGGGCTTCGGCAGCGACGTCCATATCTACGTTGCTTCAGGGGAAGTATACGGAGGGGAAGAGACTTTGGCGCCACTCAAATCCCTCTTCTCCAATTTCCACTCGAAAGAGACCTTGGCCAACAAGGAAGAGTTAGCAGCGTTCGCAACCTTCTCTTCCCGGATGGCTGCCTTGGACTTCCTCGTTTGCGACGAAAGCGACGTCTTCGTCACCAACAACAACGGCAACATGGCCCGAATCTTGGCCGGACGACGGTACCTAAGCTCGATTTTCATTTTCTCAGTCCTTTCCTCATTTTGTCCATATCTAAAGCCGGCCTCTTTTTTTTTTTTTTTTTACAGGAGATACTTCGGGCACAAGCCAACGATCCGCCCCAACGCAAAGAAGCTGTACAAGCTCTTCCTGGGTCGCCGGAACTCGACGTGGGAGGAATTCAGCGCCAAGGTCCGATCAAGTCAAATCGGGTTCATGGGGATGCCGAACGAGGTGAAACCTGGAAGAGGCGAGTTCCATGAAAACCCTTCTTCCTGCATATGCGAGACCAGAAGGAATGATAATGCGGCCTCCCCTGATGCGGATAAGAAGAGATACACCGACGGCAGCGCCGGCGATGACCGGTCGTCGGCGACGGCGGAGGATGAGCGCGAGCAGTACTATTTCTCCGACTCGGAGACGGCAGTTCCCAACGGGTTGGCCCAGGTAGCGGAACTCGACGACGACGAGTTCTTTTCAGACTAGAAATATATACCGGCGGTACGTGCCTTCGTCGGGAGGTTTTCCCCCCCGGCATCTTGTAAATACAAAGGAGCTTTGTGTCAGACTCTTGACGCCGTGAGGTTGCCGGTAGACTATATACAGTAGTACAGAATGCCGTTGGAGAGAATCTCTCTCCGCCGGTTTGTCTGTCTCTGTTATTTTTTGTTTTTATCTTTTTTCCATTTCACCTTGGGGTTAATTAGTTAGCTGGGGTTGGTTGTTATTATTGCCGTAAGGCTCGAGAGGTTAGATTAGGGAGGGGAGGGGTCTAAATACTAAATAGGACTTGCTTACAAGTTACAATGCTTGCTTACTCGTTTTGTACGACTAGTTTTTGTTGTCCCCTTTTTTTGTTCCTTTCACAAAGAGCAGAAAAGTGAAAAATGATACTTACAGCCTACAGGCCTTTTACAGTGTAGCAATTGATAGTAATAACGATATTGCTCCTCCAGATTATTTAAATGTTTGGATTAATGGTATAAGTAGATTATGATTATTGGATACTATGGATTATGTACATTATTCTTGGTTTTGGATGCATGGTATTTCTAGGCTTTGAATAATAATTAATAAGTTGAATTTGAGTTGAACCTGCTACCCAATGAAGGCTTATACGGCGCCGTGCAGCCAGTCTAGTTGAGCACAAACGACAATGGCGCGAAATGGGTCGTATAAAGGAAGGGGTAGGACACGTGGCGGTAAACGTAATCCACATCTCAGAATCAGGACGTGGCAGTTTCCTCGTCCATTCTTCTTCTCGTCTTTTCCCCTTCATCTCTTCTGGTTCTGGCACTGGCTGGCAGAGTCCGCCTACTCACACACGAAGAAGAATACCTTAACAATGGCGTTCCGGCTTCCCGCTCAGCTTGCAACGGTGCCATCCAATGGCCATCCTCACCAGCTCGCCGCCGGTCCCGCGCCTTCTTCTTCACTCTCGTGGCGCCGCAATTTAGCTCCTCACCTCCCTCTCTTCTCCCCATCCCCTCCGTCGTCCGTCTCTGGTACAGCTAACTACCTCGCTCTCTCGTTCTCTTAGCTCGATTTCTTCCGTTTGCCGTTGCTCAGTGAGTTTAATTGAACAGGGAAGTGCTACCTACGACCGGCAGTGAGTTGCAATGCGGCGAGTGCCGCGGCAGCTAATTTGGCGCCGGGGACTCCCGTCCGCCCGACGAGCGTGCTCGTCGTCGGAGCCACTGGAACTCTCGGGAGGCAAGTCGTCAGGCGAGCGCTCGACGAAGGTTACGAAGTGAGATGTCTCGTCAGACCTCGTCCCGCTCCCGCCGATTTCCTCCGCGATTGGGGCGCCACCGTCGTCAATGTACTTATCTCTCTCGGATTTCCCCTCCAATTCTTATTCTCGGGCTTAATTTTGAATTCTCTGAGCAGGCGGATCTTAGCAGGCCGGAGACAATCCCGGCGACGTTGGTTGGGATTCACACGGTGATCGACTGCGCCACTGGCCGTCCCGAGGAGCCGATTAAAACGGTAAGCAACCCTAATTCGATGGGAATTGGACTGGATTGGTTATTCTCTGGTGTGAACGAAAACCCTAATCCACGAGTGTTCTAGTGTTTAGGTAGACTGGGAAGGGAAAGTTGCGCTTATACAATGTGCGAAGGCAATGGGGGTACAGAAATATGTGTTCTATTCGATTCACAACTGTGACAAGCATCCCGAGGTTCCGTTAATGGAGATCAAGTACTGCACAGAGAAGTTCCTCAAGGACTCTGGACTTCCTCACATCACCATACGATTGTGTGGCTTCATGCAAGTAATAAACAATGCTCTTCCATTCCCACCAATCTTCAATCTGCTTTCATAGTTTTAGACCAATAGCTTGTTTACTGATTGTTCTACTACCAGGGTCTGATCGGGCAATATGCGGTGCCTATATTGGAGGACAAATCCGTGTGGGGAACCGATGCTCCTACGAGAATCGCGTATATGGACACTCAGGTAGTACAACTTAACATCTGGAAAAGCATGCTTTTCCCCCACTGCATTCTCAAGTTTTGGTCTGTTTATTTGGGTGTTGATAGGATATAGCTCGATTGACATTCATTGCTCTGAGGAATGAGCAAATCATTGGGAAGCTCCTGACTTTTGCTGGTCCTCGAGCTTGGACGACTCAGGAGGTAAGCAAAGAGGAGTAGATCTGGATGAACGGTGCTGTTTACCAAACAAGCCCTTACAGTAGAGTTTGTATGTCTCCTCTATTAAGAACGTTCGTCGTCTTGATGCCAAACGTTATGGGTTGTGGTCATGGTCTAGGTGATAGCACTGTGCGAGAGGCTGGCCGGACAGGATGCCAATGTAACCACAGTTCCAGTCTCGGTCTTGCGGTTCACCAGGCAGCTGACAAGGTTTTTCGAGTGGACGAATGATGTTGCTGATAGACTGGCGTTCTCAGAGGTAAATCCTGAAACCAATTGCTAAATGTTACAAGTGGAAAGGATTATTGTGATCTCATGAGGTAGATGGGGAAATGATGATGTATCAGGTTCTTTCGAGCGACACCGTGTTCTCCGTCCCCATGGCGGAGACGTACAGCCTGCTGGGTGTGGACCAGAAGGAGATTGGGAGCCTGGAGAAGTACCTGCAGGACTACTTCACCAACATATTGAAGAAGTTGAAGGACCTCAAAGCTCAATCTAAGCAAACTGACATTTACTTTTGAAATGCTATGTTGTTATATATACTTGTATTCATGGAACTGTAAATTTTCTACACGAGGAGAGGCTCGAGATTGATGTACGAACTGATAGATGATTTGACTATCAACGAAATTCCTTCACCTTGTAGTCTCTGACTCTCTGTAAGTTTCAATCTCAGGTTCCCTTCTTTATCCTGCTACCGTGGAATGATCTTTGGGCCTGGCCCAATCAGATTCGGACTGGGTCCGAGAATCGGAGTACTTAAGATTGGGCCGACGCAAGAGTGGTGGGCTTGCGTGGATTCCAGTTCAAGGAGCTTTTGGTTATGGGGGATTGATTTGATTCGAAGAAATCCGAAATCCCGTCTGAGAGGGAAATCATAGCCCGTGTTATAAACGCACTGCTACGTATCGGGAAATCGCAGGAATCGACAAAGCAAGAATACGAAAGTGAGAATCGAAAACACGACACACGATTTACGTGGTTCACTAACACGATGTGTGTTAGCTACGTCCACGGGCGAGAGCCAATTTCACTATATCGAGGAGATTACTTATTACAGAGGAGTATGAGAAGTATTTATAGTACTTCTCCATGTGGGTCTAAACCTAATCCAATCTGACAAAGGAAATGGTTACAGACCAGGCCCAAACCCCCGATTACCAGTCGTAGCGGCTGATAGTCCGATTCAAGTCACATCAACAGCCCGTGATTGGGGTGGAATGTGGAATATGTGCAGATGAGCTTTTACGCAAAATCAATGTCGAATCATTACAGAAAGTGAGTGGGTTGGGTCGGGTTGGGTCGAGAAGGGTAATGGTCCTGGGTGGGTGGGAATGGGAATGACCAATGGGCCAGTCTCGGGCGAGTATTTGGAGAAATTCGTCTCATGACAAGTTGAGTTTAGATTGGATAATTTATTACGGAGTGTGAATCGAGAAAGGTTGATCTATGTGTATATATAATTAAAAAAAACATTAGAAAGAAATACCAAAATATTGATAAAAATTATTTTTAATTTAGAAAAAATGGGTCAAGAATGGAAAATGTCGGGTCTGAGTGGAGTACTCATTTCCACCTCACCTATGAGCCAGGTATCGCCCACCATAAAACACAGGTCAAACAAATCCAATAAAACGTATTAGGTTACTGGGTTTTTTATTGAAGAGATCAAATTTACAAACTGGATTTGCTACCTACCAGCAGCAAGACGCAGGGGCCAGAAATAAACTGTTGGAAGCCATTAATGAATTGGTACTGATGAACAGTAAATTGAGTGGGACTACATAGAATTGTTCGTAGTCCCCTGTTTTTACCTCCAACAAAACACAGAGCATCCTATAGAATTCATTCATTCATTCATTCCCATCATGTAACGCGTTATAGTATTCATGCCTATGTTTGGCCATCCTATCCCTCCCTCCATACTTTTCCCTATATATCCATTGGATTTGTCGGCTCGAATTGTCAAATGCCCAATCCCCCTCTCTGTTCCTTTCCCTTTCATCCTCTTTTCCATTTCCCCACTCACTGTTCATAGCTTTTACATGACCATCCTGGCTAGGGTTCCTGGTAGGAGGTATTTCGTAAGCTTGCATTCGATGCAATACGATAGTCGTTTGAACAGAAACAAACGCGATAGACGAGCGAGTTCATGTTCACGTGATGTATGAAACGACGGACAATAATAAACTTGATCAAACGCGCGTCCAAACCTTCTCAATTGTAGATAAATTAACTTTCACTGCACGTTTTTCTTTTTTTTCATAGTGTTTCAATCGAGTTATACTTAATGCGAATTTGACCCATCGACACCATAGCAAAAGTTTTGGTACATGACCTCTTTGTTGTACTATACTTATGTACTCTTCACATATATGGGTGAATATATTGATTGCCGCTTCTAAGGTAATTTTTCGAGAAAAGAAAACCCTTTGGGTGGGTTGAAGAGGCCAAACTTGCAAAGGCAAAACCCTAGCTAGTTGGATTTCATGGTGTTACTATTTGGAAGAAAGAGACAGGCAAGAACCAAGAAAGCAAAGCCAATATCCAAACTAAACTACCCACAAAAACAGAGATTGCCATGGAGTTGGGATTATATGTAAGGATGAAATGTCATAGGGAAATAGCTAGCTAGTCTTGGTAGGCTGGTTCGAAACTGGCTCAAGAAGCAAAGTATGTTAAGGGTTCTGTTCTGTCTCCCTTTTTTGTTTTGCCTTCTTGTTTAGGGTTTAGTGTTTTTAATGTAAGGTCATAATTGACGATACCAAGAAAGGGCATTGGACAATTATTAAGGTTTGACAATACCAAGAAAAAATGTATGACAAAAAGACAAACAAAAAAGAGAGGATAAACATTCACGAGTCGGTTCTTGAATTTTTTTATAAAAAATTAACAGGCATATCGCCAAAGTTTGGAATAACTAACATAATCATTATTTTTTTTGTCTATCTTTGTCAAAAAATTTCGAACCAGATGGTTAATTCGAGGATCCGCGTGACAGATGATGAATCGGCGTATGGATCTTAACTACTTTTTTACATGCTTTTTTCAAAACGAAAACTAACTCATGTGTTTGAAGATTGTTTAGGCCCAAAATACCATGTGTTTTAATAAATTGGTAATATCGGGGGCCGTGAGAATTTGAGAACGTGGCATTGCGATCAAACCAGCTTTTATACAATGTTATAAACAATCGAGTCATTAACTCAAACTATTGGAAGAGGTCCGCGTGTGGATTTTAATCACTTCTTTACATCTGTAGTTGAATCGATCCACTGTTGTTTAGTTTAACAAATATGCTTTAAATTATAAAACTCATATAATTCTTTTATTTAACTATAATGTTGATATTCCTTTCTCTTTCGATATGAAGCTACGTCAATATCGAAAGATCGAACCATCAACCATGTCCACCCCCAATCAACTAAACTAAAGTTTCTCCCCCCTTACCTAATGATATCATATTCCTAGCTAGCCAACTGATGGTGTGGGGTAGAATTAGGTGCATTGTCCCTATTGAATTGGGACCCTCTGCCCCTTACTATACATAGTTTTCAAATTTGGGAGAAGTTGAGTGCTTCTACCTGTGGCTGTTACCATCCCAATTTGTCATTTCACCTGAATTCAGGGTATTGCAAAATATATGGAATTGAAAAAGGAGGGATTCCATATATGTGCATGATATGATGGCAATGCTTTTTTAGCTTTTAAAAAGGGGTGGTAGGGCGTGCAGACTAATGCTCTGGATATTCTTCATCACCCAATCTTACTTCCCAAAGGAGGAATGATCATTAGACAAATGTGCTTTATTACCTGATTCTTGTTACTATTGCTATGCTCTTTTGCAGTTTTGGCTCAAGGCTGCCAGTCTCCCCCACTCCATGGATAAAGCTTAGGCTCTGAAAACTTGTAGTTCATGAACTAACTGAATAGTGGGAAAAAGTTTTAAGTTTCATATTGTTACCGTTGATCACGGGTCAAAAGGTTGCACGATAAGTACGTAACGATTTTGTATTCTTCTTCATCGATGAACTCGGATGTTTTCTCATACTGTAAGTGTTTCGTCGTTTTTGTACCTAATTACGAATTGTTACACAAATTTTAAAAAAACATAGTTTTTAGATACTTGCTTGATTGTATTTATCACAAGGAGAGTCATTTAATTGTGGTAGAGTACACAATACTTAACTATCTAATCCACCCAAATAGAAAACAAGAAGCAAACAGCCGAAAGATCGCGAAATCACATCCAAATACGAATTATAAGACAAACAAATGAACAATTATAGTAGCAGGATACCAAAACCGTGAAAACCCCATTACAATACCGTGATAATTCATATCATACTAGTTGTTTCACAAACATAATATTGATTTAACGGTACTGCCGCCGATGATAACAGTGCACAAAAATTGGTGGGGAGGAAAAGAGAGGAAGACCACCCACCAACCTTTTTTCAGCAAAGATCTCATTTCTCTTGCCCCAATTTTCATGCCATGCCCCATGCCATTTGCACCCTGCAACCAATATCCCTCTGAGTCTGACCAGGTTGGGGCTGAATTTTATATATTAGTGTATTATAGTTTGTGCAATGTTTGGCCTCACAGATCCACTCAGAAGCTCAGAAACCCTAAAGAGGGAGTTAAAAAGAAAAGTGAAAGGGATTGCTTTAAAAAGGAATGAAATGAAGGGAAAGAAAAGTGGCAGTAAGTGGGTGAATCTCAAACTCTTCTTCTGACTCATAAATCTCTTCCTTTTTTTTTACTTGCTTCAAAGGAAGAAGACCCCAAATTAATTATTTTTTAATTTTATTGTGTTTTGTTTTTGGCCTTTTTTTTATGAAGTGAATAGATATATGTATATTATTGAAAAAATTACAAATTTGTTTCTCAGCACATGGACCATGCAGCTGGACTGTACTATTGTCTGTCAAGCCCACTATGAGACCACCACAGCACCAGTAGCAGTACTACTACTTACACTGACCAGTGACCACTCCATAATCCTTCCTCAGGATGATTTTGGCCAGAGAGATTGTAAATTGCAGTGGTCACTTTGATTTCATGACGATTTCTCCAACTGCCTAGCTAGCTTTCCAATGGTGTTGACTTCTTGAATTTTACACAATGGGTTGTTATTAAAGTTTGAAAACGATTATCGTGTAGTAATGATTGCATCGATTTATGCTGAGTTTTTCCAGTCAAATCAATAAGTGGAACATAACTGAGCTACAACGTTAATTAATAACGCTTAGGTAACCAACGAGAGATCATTCGGTACAAATACTGTCTATCATGGCCACTATATATTGGCATATCTACTCAATCATGATGCCATCCATGTAGCTAACAAACTAAGGGATCATGGAGCTTTTGGAATATAAGATTTAGGGTTTATATGAATTCAAAGCTCCAAGGCTACCTTTAGCTAGATCCAGAGAACTAGAGAAGGGTTTAGTTGATTGTGTTAAGCACATGAAAGATTAAGAAGAGAAGAAAAGAAAAAGGAGATTGTAAATGCAACTTTTGAGACAAATTGCACATGATGATATGAACTAGAGAGAGGATTGTTGGGGCCTCTTTTTCATTTATTTGACCACACCAAACCAAAAAAAAAAGAACTCCTTGCAAATTGCAATCGTACTATGGGGAAAAAAGAGAGTTAATAATGGTTGGATATTTGTCTTCTTCTGCTGGAGTGGATCTTTTCCCAACATTGCTTTTGGTGGTTGTCAATTGATCTTCATGTGATCATAATGCATTGGGTTTGCTTGCTAGAATGCTAGTTGCTAGTTAATTAGTATGCATTGACACCTATGAAACCCACATAAACAAAACCAAAAAGAAAAAGAAGCATAAATGGATATGTGGCTTGTAGAATTGTTGTCCATTGATCGTTACGAATTTTTTGATTTTATTGTTTAGTAATTTATAGGTTTATTAGAGTGATCGACACTATGTATGTATTAACGGTGAAAGTTCGGGCTTCAGATTGGTCTATAGTGTTATCCCTATCGGATTCAATAATTTGTAGGTCTTTTATGAGACTGAATCATCAACCAAACATGCTTCTTAGGACAACAAATCTTCAATTATGCTTCTTGTTGTTTGATGAGGAAAAGGGAGTTTGTCACATGTGGCACAATGTGATGGGTCAATAATGGCGGGGTTAGGGTTTAGTGGAGGGGACACATTGGATTCTTTTCAGTCATGGTTGGGCTCATCTCATCTCAATATCTCATCTTTATGCTGGCTAGAGAGAGAGAGAGAGAGAGAGAGAGGAATGGGGAGGCAAGGCAATTTGGTGGGTTTAGCTCTCTACAAAACCTTAAAATAGAGATGGGGCAAAGTTTTTCTCCATTTGTTTTGAGTGGTTTCTGAGTATAGGGGATCAATCAATCCTATCATAGAGATTAGGTTGCGTACTTGAGATTAATAAGAGATTAACAAAAAAAAGGGTTTGTCCCACCAAAACATTCTTCATGTCTGGGTGTCATGATCCGTGATGATTCATTCTCAAATATGATCGATAAGCCTTTCATTATCACTATAGTCGCTTATTAAATTTTTTGAAAGAAAATCTATTAATCAAGATAACTTTCACTTTCTTAAACATCCTGAATGGATTGTTATAACGTCGAGGTAAACATGAGTTAACTATGTAAGGGATTAAAAAATCACATTTGGATTCCCCACCAATAGTTAGAAATATTGAGACAAATTAGTTCTTGATATGGAACCAAAACATTTAATAACCTAGATA